TAGTATTAAAACGGAAAATGTGGATGACGCGGGAGGACATAGCGAAATTAATGTCCTTAACCAAGACTAGATATCACATAACTGTGTTAAAACACCTAGAATATATCATTCATTAGAGAATAAAATACATATTCGAAACATAAAAAAAAAACATTTTCGAATGGATCTCGTCGTTTTGTGCCCCGTAATAATACGATATAAAGTGATTTCATTAATGCAATACAATTGACTTTTTTACAAATACTTTTAAGTATCAATCATTGAAAACTATTGGTTGTAAATTAATATACATTAAAGGAGAGTTATCTGTCTTGTATAACGAAGATGGGCTCTTCTAACAGTTAAAAAAATTTATACAAGTTTACCAAGGGATTAACAGGCATGCATCTGGTAGTTTAGTAATAACTACCGTTTTCGAACAAGAATGGAAACAAATACTGGTTGCTTGTTCTAGAGGTAACATTCTGAAGAAAAAAAAAACTTTTACATCGCCGTGTGTCTTGCTGAAAGAAACACTCAAAGGATATCAGATGCATTAAAGCAATACTTTAGCATCATCATAGGATCAAACGACAGCAAAACGTTGTTAACTGAGGATTAACCTTTCATAGACAGGCACGGGGGTTGAAGATTCCGAAATACTACCAACAACATCAACACAGAGGTTTCATAACACGCATAGAGTATGTGAGCGAACCTGCTAGCTAGAGAATAAATCATCTCGAGAACTGGATAAACCATAGAAAGTATGTACATTTATCCAATCATCTATCCTCTATGTCACATATGATTTTCACGTGGTGAGTTAAGCTGAAGCTTCTACGATCTATGCCATGAAAAGGACCCAATGACTCGCGAAGGTGTTCTATGTCAAAGAAAACACCTTCCTGCTGAGACAAATCATACAACAGCAAGCTCCTATATAGACACATTCCTTTTCCATTACGTAAACGCTACAAGCCTAATTGTCCATACCACGTGTGTGTTGTCCGCTCCCATCCCCGCGTCAATCTAGCGATGTTTCATACTTAATGAAACTATTAAACCAGAAAGAAAAACAATAGCGACTTCAGCCTGTATTGAATAATTAAGAAAGACACAGAAAGTGCATTTGAGTGTCTTATAGTACAAATCGTTCTTTTAAAATATTCCATCCTTTAAGCTTGTCATGCTTTGAGATTCGGAGTCCTGCAGAAGTCGTTAAATATTATGCAAGGGAAGTATTTATCTGTTTCTCAGATTCCAAAATAGATTTAATCGTGTAGCATTCTGACATTTACTCCAACATGAAACAACAATTTCGTTTTCGTGGGTTTTCCGATAACGCATGATATAATTTCTTAATTTTGTACATTTTGATATTTGCACCTATTTGATGCAATTCTCTCCTTCTACATATTACCTTAAAATTTCCAATTATAATGTACTTCGCTGTATAATTGAATATAATCTGTTTGTTAAAATATTAACATAATTCTGATACACTTTAGCAATTGATAACTTGGACTCATCATAACATTGTTCCTGTAATTGATTGGGGTCTTTGTTGCATGACTTGCATGTTCTCGCCTTTGCTGAATTTACTGAATACAACTTGGCGTGCTGATTTGCCCTCTTAGGCAATATGTCGGAGTTGTGTATGTAAGTTTAAGCTGGCAGATAGTTTAGACTTGTGTTACTTTTTATTGTCTAATATGACATTGTTTCTTTTTTCAAACTGCCTTTTCATGAAAGTAATGAAACGGAAAATGGCTATTTCAATAATACTCTGTGAATTTTTTTACACTGTATCATTCTCACAAAAGAGAGGAAATTAAAACCTCTGAAATAATTATCTCAGAGTACATATTCGATTTTTTACTCGCAAATTTCATTTCAAAGCTACATTGGCATTTTTGCGGACACTAACCGATTGATTTTATATTTAATTATCGTATAAAAGAATTAAACAGATGACACAACTCGGTGCAAGTTAAGCGTTAGATACACGATAACCAAATGAAGAATTAAATTATCAAAACAATGCCGATTCGTTGATGTTATGAAGTAACATTATTACTCAAATACCAATATGCTTTTTCCATTGTGTGAGCCTCTGAAGTGCTAAACATGTAAAGTGTTGTCAATTTAATATGCTTTTGATAATACATTTATGTCGCTTTATGATACAATTCATCATCAACAGACGGCAGACTGTCTGGACATCTCTCTTCTAAAATACGCTACTGATTACAGTGCTATCGGCTATATCACAATTCCTTTCCCAATTGTCTCTTACATGATGATTTTTAATACCAGGAGTTAACATTTCATAGAAAGCCGTGGACTCTCTTTCTTCTCTTCTCCAGGGCTGTCGAATCCTTTTCTGTGATGTCGCCCACATTTTTCTTGATATACGCCAAAGGATATAATTTTGCATTGTAGCAATCACAATGAATGCAGCTCATCAAAGGTTGGTTTTGTAAATCCTTTGCGAGGAATCGTTTGTGTTGGTGAACCTGGGGCTATGAATAATGATCTAATTAGATAGCAGTTTTCATTTCTATATGCTAGTCCCTCCAACCGCTACGCTTCTGATTATGCGCTATCGGAGTCGTGTTGCGTACAAAAATGAAAGACAAAAAACAGAAATGCAGATCGTATGTCAAATGGCATGATCATGACTCAGTCGAAGAGAATGTTCGGTGAACAAAATTTACGCAGAAGTGATATTTTAAGTCAATTTTACCCATCTTTTGCGTTAATGTTATTAGGTTGTCTTTCTTGAATACATCCTTAAGAGTAGTCCTTAAGAGTAGAGATGATTGAACATATTTCTAGATTTTTAAAGTATCCAATAAATCACTGTGCATAACATGGTTACCTCGATATTCACGTACAACGTGAAGAACTGTAAAAATGTTGTTTTTTTGCTTTTTATGCACGAACCATTTGATTGTACTATACCTGTATCTCCAGTTTTTTGTTATTTACATTTAGATTCAGTCGATATCCATTGGCTTAATCTCATATTACGATTTCTCTGATGGATGTTGACAATAGACAGAAAAACTTACAGGAGAAATATGAAAATTAACCAATATTAGCAGATTTTCATGTAGCTATCACGATTTCATTGGAAGCTATTTCTTTACGTCATACAAATTTTAACTTGATAAAATCTCGTTAACATGCATATTTCTCGTCTTTACTGCTCCCATTCACATCCACCAAGGTATTACTTGGAATGTCCTCAGTAAACATGGTTGGTGTCGTAGACCCAACGAAGGATGCTCTCACCTTTGATATACCAAGTCCTATTATCCTTGTTTAGTTTCAAGATCTATGTAAAATACTTTCTCTTTCATTTTTCACAATGTCGAATTTGAATGAAGACAGTATCACTTATGCATGTTTTCGTTTGTATGCTACTTAGATATTTAACGTCCTTCATAGACTAACGTCTCAGCCGGGTAGATCTCTTAACAAAATAATATGCGCATACCTTCCCTCCCGAAAGTTTATGTAATGGTTTGGTCCTCATTAGTGTCTGCTACTTCTCCTGGTGTCTAAACATAGGGTTCCCTCGAACATTGACTATAACTGATTGGGTTTCATTTCATAGGGTTCCCACGACATTTCCGTTAATGGTCAGGTGTCAAAACATAGGGATCCCGCGGACATGGTCTGTTACCGATTGGGTATCATTACATAGGGTTCCCTCGGACATTGTCCGTTAACGTTATAGTGTCATTACAAAGGGTTTCTTAGGACGTTGTCCGTTAATGGTTGGGTCTCATTACAAAGGGCTCGTGAATGGAATGGTATCACTATAGGGGGTTCAACCGGATATTCCGCAATGGTTGGATCTCATTACATAAAATTCCTCATGTCAGTGTCTGCTATGTTTGCGCTACGTTGCATTACCTTAGACAATGTTTAACGTGGTTGGGTATCATTAAATAGGATTCCCCCGTACAGTGCCTATTACCTAAGCCTTTATTTCCATGTAACTTAGTTCACGTTGAACTCTCTAACGAAGTGTTATTTGATTAAAGTGACATATAACATGCGTCCCTACATCAATTATCATTAGCGGATAAGACATCTACATATGGCTCCCACGGACAACTAAGGAGTCCTGAGAAAGTATGACTTCCTATTAGGTTGATACATTTAGTGCATTCTTCAGACAGTTTTCGTACTGCCTGGAATTATACTACTGCCGATTCCAATCCTGTCGAAAAGGCTAAGACTGTTTTCAACATAACATACATTGTCTCGCTCTTAATACCTGTATCATTTTGATTAAATCGTCGATTCATTATCTTATCTAATTACAGTTATAAACTTGTGTACCGCTTTGATTAAAAAATGAATTGTATTGTCTTGTTGATTGAGTGTCTTATATAAGAGCATCAGAGATACATCTGACAATTATTCACTCACTTGTAATTTTCAAATCTGATCAGAATTGTCTTTCATACACAATCTTACGCATCACTATCTTGATATCGTTTATTGTAGATAATAATAAGCAGAGTTATAACATAAAAAAAAATGCCTTTCATATGGGAGAATAAGTTCTGAAGTCTTTATTACATTCATTCTTCATGGATTGGTTTGATTTTGACCACACACGTCAAGGTGATAGATATAGACTTACATAGAAGAACCTCGGACAAGTTTACTGTTACATGTATTTCACATTGCTGGACAGGTTTTGTGAATTGTTGTTACACCGAGATATAGCGAGATAGAAATAAAAAATGTCATGAATAGTTTCAAAATTCGTATGAAATTGAAACGAATGTAAGATTCTGTTAATCACATGTAATTAAGTTTGCAAACATATGGAGAAAAAGAATTATTTCTAGACTGAGGCAAGATCTAAATTGACAATAACGACATGGTGCATACTCATAATAAGGATACTACCGGAACTTCTAAGCTTGTTTTTCCTTTTTTAAGCTCTGTTAGAGGATAACACAGAAATGTATAAGTTTCCTTTTCCTTTTCAGGTCTGAACGAGGTCAGAACAGAAATGTATAAGAAAACGGAAACGGTGATCGAATACAAACAAAATGGCGACAAGTGGGTGATGGAAGTTGGTATTTTAGCGGGTCCTCCTCCGACGTCGTACACGTTTAAACTTGGTGAACCGTACGACTCTAAGGATATTGACGAATCCCCCATGAAGGTAATTCTTTTTTCGAAATCAAGAAAACAGATATCGCAAATGTACCAGTTCAGATGAAGACAGTATTGTAATTTAATTTTGAAGTGATATCTTAGCAACGCTTTTGAATTTCACACAAATGAACACATTTTTCTAGAACAATTAAAAAAAATGTGAAAATCTGGAGATTTCATTTAGTGAACTGTGGAATCCAATTTTAACACAAATGATGACAATTTGTATTCGGTAATTATGAGTAATTTAATGTGTGGGTACAATATATCTTTTCTTAGATTTAAACCTTTGAATTCGTATTTTGTCCAAGGAAACACCTTATCCTTCATTACCAACTTTCATTCAATGTTGAAATTCAATGTCTAGGAATCAACTACTCTTCACGAGTAGAAAATTACAAAATGGTGAGTAAGGTTCCATGTACACTACATATATATTCTAATTTCCGTGGCGTTCATAGCGAAAAATGTTTGCATGTCACAAACATGTCGAAAACATATTCAACAGGGGAATATTTAAATGTCTTAAGAAAACAACCATCGTGTCACCTTTGTGCAACAATTATAGATTTCATCAGGCAGGTGTTCAGACTAGTTACATAGTGTCGGTATCTCTCCATACTTGATATATCATTAACATTCTACCCTTGTTCCATGATTACCTGTAACATCTACCTATATAGACATAAACCTGGATATAATTAGCGGAGGGTGTGATAGACGATCTAAACTGCTGACACATGTGATATTTGGACTATGATCTAAAGTGCATCTCATCAATATTGCATAACTTGGTTAATTGTTTTTACCAAATGCACTAAATAACAATCCCTTAGGTGTGATGAACGTTCCATATTTGTCCGATAAACATCACTTATATATATATATTGACAAAGGTATAGATCTATATCAACCTATTCTTGGTACATTACAATACACTTGATTATTACGGGAGTAACTGATCTCATAACCCTGTTAACAACAGCAACAGATATATCTATATAAAGATATGAATCGTGCTGTACAAATTCGATATCGATAGTAATCGTAATGTCACGCGTAATTGGTATCGGAACATGTCAGGTCTCAACAGACTTTAGGATTTGTGTATGATTATCATTGCGTGAATTTTGAGTTCAATACAAAGAAAAGTTCCCGGCGTATTAAAACGTTCAACAATCTGCGTACGTTTTTATTTATTTTTTTTTAAAGAAAATTTAATTGAAAATGAAAATTCAAAGAAAATCGAATATTTGTACCTCATGCACCAAAGCGATAAGCGGCTGTAGGTTATTACCCAGGCGACGGTATCGCTACATCCAGGTGAGAGTTATAATGCAACATCATAGCCTAAACGTGTGAAATTAACACAAAGGTGCCAGACCGACAGAAATCGATACCGCATACAAGGCTGCAGCAAAATTGGCACAAAAATAATGTAACAGAGTGCACATTTACAATAAAACGATCAATCAGATATTGACCGATAATTGTCTGGATAAAGGATATTACACAACCTAGCAATTATCCATCTAGAATTGCGAGGTGACGAACGTGATACACCCTGCAATGCTTGTTTGTCCAGCTAAAATAAGTAATATTGGACGTGGTGTGCTCTGTAATGTTTTCCCTTATAATTGTCCTAAAAAGTCAGATTTTTTGTCCTTTGTTTGACTCGAACGTTGATGTATTGAGGAGGGGATAAATTATACAATTCATTCTAATTGATTTTCTTATTTGAACCTATATAGATTGAACGTGTTTAAGTTTGTAATACATCTTGAAAAGTAAAATCTGAATTAATCATACTTTTTCTATCTGCAATAGAGTTTGGTAAAGTCTAACGGGAATACATTTGAAGAAGAACATACGTTTGAAGACGGGCCCATGAAGAACAACAAGATGGACATCAAACGAGAGATAGAAAACGAACAAATGAAAGTGGTACGGTTTTGTTTCTCATGAGACAAACTCAAGTTATTTATCTCGCTATTCTTGACATTAAATAATTTGAAAATACTATACACAATTTTTATTTGGCGTACTTTATCCTCGATAAATACGATCCTTGCCAATAGAAACTAAAGAAATGTTCATGATGAAGACCGTTACAAAAATACGAAACAGTAATCTTTATAATTATCACACTTGCTGGTTTCTAACACTCCAATCAGAAAATTTAATGTTGTTGCAATTTATGATTTCAGACAACGACGCTTGGCGATTGCTCCTTCGAAACTACATACGCGAAGGTAAAGTAATGTACGGGCCAATCAGACTATTCCTCGATTGAATGATATAGCTAAACACGTCACCAAAACTATCTATGTGCGTACTGCGTCAGCATTACGCGTGTACTGCTGAGAATTGTACATGTTGTGCCTTCGTGACAGACATAATTGATTCTTATACGTACACGGAACGCCATGTTGTTTGCCTTGAGGCTACAGTAAAAAAATGTACTGTTTTGTGAACTGCTCAAAGTGACAATGCCCGACAGATTTAAAGAAACTATGGTGGTAAAACGAGCTTGGATTCTACGCTTTATTCATCTAGCTTACTTTTTTCTCTTGAATTCACGCAGCAATGCAATCCATATATATGTGAAATAGAAATCTATTTATATATTTCAATATAGAATGTTTGTTTCGCCGATTAATTTCTCTAACAAGAATATATGTTTTCACAGTTTATGTGAGAGTCTTCTTTTGAAGTATCATACAGGTGGTATGCTGCTTCTGGAGTATTAGTGATAACCAATAATGATTGATGGAATTTCTTAACATGGGTATTGATAGACCTATAGGATTTGCTGTGATTTTGACAACAATTCGGCGGAATTAGCTAGGGAGCTTATCGATAAACAACATGCTGGTTTTCCGTAACGACTATAGGTTTTTAACACGATGCACCATTGATCGCAGCATGTTCATAAATTAATATTGCATAACCAAATTCTATAACGTCATGAAACAGCAATAAGGCATTTCTGATCGGCTAGGTTTATAATGATAGGGAATTTTTGCAAATGAAATTGATAGAAAGTACTCAAGTAAAAGGTTTGTGAGTACATTTCTGTTAACGGAATGCAACAATTACTTCGCAACGTTTTAAACCGATACAATTTATATCTGCTACAACAGATCTTACATGCGCACCCTATCTATTTGCATTATAAAAATTAAAATATCAGAGGTAAGAGAGGGCTATGATTATCTATTATAGCTAGATAGGCGTACAAAGTTCTGCCCACTTGAGGTAGGCGTGACCTCCAGAGCAGGGGGGAGGGGGGATGGACCTGACCGTAACACGTGCCACGAATCTCTATAACTGTGTAGTGTTATGGGCTTTCAGTGTATTTAATAAAACTTATATATATATCTACATGTTGTTTGTTCTTTATTACCGCCCACATCATATGAAAATGACGGATGCCGCTTCTTGATTTCGTGTCCGTTGCTGAGCACACGGTAGTGTTTTCATTTGGAGTGATAATTAGAACAGCTATAACATAGAAAAGATACAATGACGTGTAAGCATTATTCAACATAATAAAAATATTAAATCAAAATTTAATAACTACGTGTATTTTGCAACCGTTTTGCTATGCGCTAAGCGTATTCGTGATAAGTTACCAAAAACGTTATTCTTTGAAACCAGCCTGAAACTGAAATATTCCTATCAAAGTTTATAATTAATTTCTTAGATTGGTTTAAAAAAAAGAAAAACACATAAATATATAAATTTGATAATTTCCTAAAGGATTATACTATAACATTATTGGCTAGCTTTTTATTGTTTCGGGTACATGTACATTGAAAGATATTTGGATATTTTATGATATTGTATCCTGTTCTTTTGTTAACATCATTGAATGATAGCGATCCACACACCAGATATACCATTCATACAAGAGAAGTTCTAACTGAAACGCCGCGAGGTGGCGTGCTGCCATTGACTCTTCCAATCACTTTCAAGTTGGTGGAGCTATTTTTTGTTTTGTTTTGTTTACATCGAGAAATGGAAAGAAAAAATGGACGAATCAGAAAGCTGCATTTCGCGTGCAAACAACGAAACATTAATTATTTGTAAATAGCTCATCGTAAACATTTTAATACTTTCTTTCCGCGATCTGTCTGCGCAAGCTAGTCAGTTAAATGATTATCTTCAGATGAAACTTGATAAAGATAATTTACAACACCAAATTTATTTTACACACATACATATTTCGTTAGATGACTATTCAGAAAGTAAAGATAGAGTTAAATGAAACGGTCTTCTTTATGCTAACAACAAGCAAATGAAATCATGTTTGTGATTCGATCGAGAATGAGAAACCCAATGGGAAAGATGTTGACAGAGTAGACGAAAATGGTGGTCAACCAAGTGTTGTAAGTTGCTGGCTGCTTAGTGATCTTTCTCTGGCACATATTACTAGTTTTCATTTAATTGATTAAGTATCATATAACACACTACATCTCCAGGTTAATAAATCCAGATATTGATTTATTATAGAAACTATAATTATACGACAAATTAATATCACTTTAATGGTGCTCTACAATGTTTATAATATGTGTCAAGTGTATTTAGAAGACTCGCATCATCTATCTTTTTAAGTACTAAGAAAATATCTAAATGTTTCAATAAAGTGTAAATCACAAAGGACGATATTCAAAATACAAATAAGATTAATGAACCCAGGCTAAAGGCCAACATGTGGCTTAGTGACTCCAATACATACAAGCTTCTACGTTGGTAGCATAGAAATGTCAGGTGGACACAGTTTCAAAACAGAGAGAACAATTTTGTTTTCAAGTCAATAAATGGTCAAATTGCGTTTACCTTTGACAGATCTTTTAATGACCTCAAGTCTGAGTCTGAACAAGTGGATAAGGGCGAACAAAGGATGGCTGTTGGCAGATAGACTTGTAATACAGACTTTGAGAACTACGTTCAAGACGCATCTAGTAGTAGACATTGATGTATGGGCCTACAGTGACTGCAATAATTGGTAGATATATCCGATACTCCATGTCTATCTCAGGTGATAGGCAGACTTAGAATACATTCCATTCATCTATCCGACATAATAGAAATATATCTGAACAGCTGTTAGGAAGATGTGTCGTCTTAATTACAATGTGTAGAACTAGAACCAAAAGCAGCAAAGCAAAAAGGTTATCCAATTAGTAACATGATTGCAGCCTGTAGTGAGAATGCCAACTGCAAAAATAACTCTTTTAAAACCTGGCAAGTTTAATCTATGTGATAACAAAACAGAAAACATGATTCCATGCAATAATGGTAGGTGTATTGCAAGGTTAGAATCGTTCATGGTTTAAATTGTTGTGGTTTTACAAACAGCTGGAAACAAGGTGATGTAATTATAACGGAATTAATAAAATGGGGCATTGTTTAAGGAATCATCACTCTGTTTTCCGAGAAAAGGGAAAAAAACAATCAAAACACATTCTGGTTGAGAGTAATCATTAGCACAATTGATTGAAAAAAGATAAACTTGTAACTGTTAGTAAATCCAGACTACTGCTATTTATGTGAATGAGTGTGTCATTATAGCCAACCTGAAATTGTGTTAGAAACTTTCCGTAATCAAAACCTAAATATGTGTACATTATTGATAATCAGGAAAAAATTAAAACCAGTACAAAAATAGGTAATGTGGTAGAAAGGGGGGGGTTTAGTTTTTCTGGGGCGATATCTTTTCACGAAACCAAGCGTCTACGAAAAAGTATTTTCTTTGAAAAACAATGGAAGTTGAGCCACATTGAAATATCTAATTCTACAATAGTTTGTCATTATTCATTAATCTGTATATCTACAACACTTATCTTGAAACGTTTTAAAGTTTCACACACCAGAAGTGATTATTATTCCCGGCAGAAACTAGTACAAGAAAATACAAGGTTAGGCTTACTCTACCATTCAGTAAAAATCGTATGATCCAAATGTACTCCATCAATTCCAATTCGAGCAGCCAGCAGTTACCTTACTGTATGTTCGTTTTGCATGGTCACTGTTTTCGTACTAACAACCATAGAACATCTTTCTAGCTATCCCGCAAAATGACCATATTCCCATCCGTTATAGTGCGTGGTTAACCAAGTTTTTTTTTATTAAATAGAAGTATAAAAGTGTTTATACTGAACGTTATACACATATCAGATAAATGGACCTCATACACGCCATTACAATAGCACACACAAAGAAACAACAAATAAATAGACAAACATAGAAACAGGAAGGAAACAGTCTTATAGTCATAACAGAGAAAAGACAGAAGAAAAAAATCAATATTGAAAGAAAAGATGGGTGTTGACTAATAGGAATAATGAATAGATAATGTAATTGTAGTTCATGACGAGCACGAAAATGTGTGGTCCCATTATGCATGAAAATATTTAACACATCTAACTTCATTTTGTATCCTGAAATATAAAGGTTATATGACTATCTATCTTTGTCTGTATCTCTTAAGCTTTTTTGTTGTAATTCTTCATAAGTCAAAACATTACTTATGAAATAGTTTGAGACAAACAGAATGAATCATACCATATGATTATTCGATCGTGACAATTCACAATATCTAAACCAAAAGCTTTAAAATTGTTTTAAAATATGATAAATGGTACAAACTACCTCAATTTCAATTCACTTATTTATATCAGTGTTATTACATGTGACTGGTTCTTTAACTGCAGTGTATACCTGAAGTTCAAAAGTTTGGGATAATTACAACATCTAGTGGAAGAAATCCCTATACATGACACATTACATAACTTACTCTATTGAAACTTAGAACGTTAAGGAGCTGTAACATGAAGATATGAGTATACAAAAAGCATGTTAACATCTGGACGCTTTGTCTGTAACGCCAATATGAAAAATAATACCTGGTTGTTTTATTATGTGTTTGGTGCCATTTCGAACGTTGTAATGTCTAGGTGGTCTCCTTTTTAACACTTACCAACTAAACAGCACAAGGGTATTACATATACGCCTCTAATTATCGGAACCGTTCGTGCTCGAGAGGGCCACGTAGCATTGACGTCTGGTTTGTTCTACCGCTGTTAATATGTATCTTATTGTAATTTGTGTTGGAAGCGCAACTCAAACACAGTATGGCTGCGAACTGTGACTGATTTATTATAAAGTGCGCATGTGCAAACATAAAGGACAACATTACAAGACTAGTGGTTAAGGGGAAGCAACTCTAATAGAAAAGATGGGCGCCTTGTGTTTATTTCTTTATCTGATCTGTTTAATTGGTGAATGGGTTGGTCGTGTTACAACCGGTTGATCAAGATAAAATTGCATAAATCAGATAGTGAACGACTTTGAAATACTCAATAGTTAACACTCAACACACAAAAAAATCACCAAATTTATCCTTTTTATTTCATAACTTCGTGTTATTGCACAATTAAGTAAACATGATTATGTCATTGCATTATCAGGTTGTAACAATATGTTATCAACATTGTTAGTATTAGCCAAATGACATATAAAGGATAGCTAGAATATTATGAATGTAAAAATATAGTTGAAATAAAAATCATTAATCAAATGAGTATTTATATAATAATACAATTTTGACTACGTTAGATTAGACAACAACTGATCCAAGTACATATTGACTAAGTCAGATGATCTGACCGCACGGGGACATTGGGCAAGGTCTACTTGCCTAAATATTTGCTATTAAATTCCAATACATATGTCCACTGCCAAAAACGCTACATCATGCATTGGAGCATCTGCACGTTTGAAAGCGTCAGCATTGCAAAACCTCTAAACGACTCGGAAGTTACTCCAGAATTTCATCAGCTACTTTTCGTAAAGTAACAAGGTACTACAGGAATTTTATTGGTTAGCTACTTATATACTGTGAAGCAAACAGTTAATACATTTATAGTACCGTAGCTATATAGTTTTAAACAATGAGCTCCGTTATGGCAGGATGTTCGAAGATCTGTCGGGACACATTTCATTTATTCAATCTTTTATGTTTCATTTTGTTTAATTATTTTTTTCTTCAAGTATTTTTTTTTTCTTTTTCTTCTTCTCAAAATAATATATATATATCCAGTGTTGGTTCTGATACATCTAGAAAAATGCAGACAATATCGACAACTTCATCGTAATATAGAGGTTGTGATATATTAACTCAATTGATTAATGAATTAATGACAGTTAACTCTCTCTCTCTCTCTCTCTCTCTCTCTCTCTCTCTCTCTCTCTCTCTCTCTCTCTCTCTCTCTCTCTCTCTCTCTCTCTCTCTCTCTCTCTCTCTCTCTCTCTCTCTCTCTCTCTCTCTCTCTCTCTCTCTCTCTCTCTCTCTCTCTCTCTCTCGCGCGCGATATCTTATGTGTCTTTGAAATACATGAGCAAGTGTTTGTTTCCACTTCTCTCAAGTGCCTTTACCACTTCTGGCAGATAACTTACTGGTTTCCTTCGTAGAATTTCTAGTAGATCACATCTTTGTTCACCTTGGTTCTGTAACGATATACCATAAACAAGGTTAAGATCCTTAAACACAAAATTACTTTTAGGATTTTGTAGGAAATCATTTATTTTAGAACATGTAAATGAAGCATGTACATAATTATAATCAAATGAAAGAAACCAAATAAAATGCTCCACTGAATTTTATTCATACTTGTATATGAAATGTATTATGCAATACGTATGATGCGTGTGTAGTTATTCAGATCTGAAGACTGAGAATAAAAGCATTACTATTTAACACCTTAAGGATGCACACCACTGATGTGTTCACCGAAAGTAAGACATGCAATATAAAATAAATTCCAATATATTATCTTGGACTTCTACAGTTAAACTTATAAGCTTAAAATACGTTTTTTTTTACCTCCGTGAAGTTGATTCCCTATTCCCTATTCCTTATTCCATTACTTATTCGACGTAGCAGTTGATTACTTATTCCTTATTCCTTATTCAATTACCAATTCGACACTTCCATTCCTAATTCAATACCTATCATTTATTCATGTAATCATTATGTAATAACACTATAAATGCTTCTGAATAATTATCAAACGTGCCCATTCTATTGTTCCTCCTTTCTATTATGTACTCAGTTCCTTTTTGTTATTCCTCCCCTCATTACTTATAGAAAATAAAGATCATTTTAAATGAATGCATAAATGTTTTAATTCCTTTCTTCGACCTATACAACACATGTAGAATGCTGATTACTTATTCGAAACCTTTATTACTTATTCGATTTCCTCGTTACTTAGGATTTTCCTAACGTTAATTTGTACCCTAACCCATACCCCCTAACTGACGAATCCCGGTAAGTATATATCATTCGGATCTAACGGGTCAGATAAAAAAAACTGAGTATAGCAATATCTGCATGTATCGTAGGAGAAACATTTGGAGTACATTTTTCCTTACCTTTACTTTGATTTTTGTTACGAATTTAATTAATGTAAATGAACTGGATTTCTATATGTGTTGTTTTTATATCTTAACGATGACAATGGTGATCTGACATTTTGTATTTTAATATGAATGAGTTAGGAAATTTACGAGAGAAGCCATAATGTATATGTTCACAATGGTGTTTATGTTTGTCTCTTTTCCTACAAAATGCTTCAATTTGATTGATCTTTCTTTTTATGCCTCTATGATTTGTGCCATTTCTTTATTTCGCCACGAAAAAACGACAAAAGTAGAGTGAAAAAAAAACGAAATTAAAATCGGCAAATTAGCGACCTAGAACTTTCGTTCTTTCCACCTACAAATGTCGTGAGAACGACTTGAAATCTTCTTTAAATTGGTACACCCGAGTGGAGGGGAAAAACAACAATATTTTTCTACATACCGGACAATACAGAAGGACATTACTCATTAAAACATTTCATAATTCAATCATATATTTGCCAACCATCTTGCAGACTTTTTGTATGGACCGTATTCACATGACCTGACGAGATTTTCTAAAGTTTCCATTTAATCTTCCATCATGTTTTTTGTAGCTAAATGGCTGCGACATGATAGAAACATAGACTAATAGGATTGTTAGGATTACTAATAATTGATTAACGTTTTCATCTATATTGTCAGTAATGCCAGTCGGTAAATAAACTTTGGATTACAGTCAAAATAAACGTACAAGATACAGCAAACTGATATATTAAAATAAAAGAAAATAAGAAAATTATTCATTGTAAAGGATTCGAGCAGGAAGTGAACATTGATTTCGACATATATAAAACTCAAATAAGTAATAGAAATACCCAATGATTTGTTTTAACCAAGTATGGACAGGAAAGTGGACAAAGGGTAAAGAGTAAGAAAAGTGAGAATTCAATTCAGTAATACCAGTTTCAGAATAAGAAATGAAAGTATGAATAAGTTATGGATATAATAATAGTTGATACGTATTTCACCGTTCATTTTGACAATAGATTCTAAAGAAATATCAGATTCTAATACATAATGAGTACAGTATCTCCGATAAACAGGTCGAAAATAGAATGAAATCGTCTAATTCTTCATTTTAAAACTATCTACATTATTTATAAATGATAATAAATCGAATAAGTAATGAAGGATTGGAATACGTAATGAGCACTTTACATGTGTCTTATTGGTCGAAAATTTAATTAAAACGTTTATCCATTCATTTAAAGCTATGCATATTGTTTATAAATAATGAAAAAATCGAATAAGTAATGAGAAAATCGAATAAGTAATGAAGGATTGGAATAAGTAATGAGCACTTTACATGTGTCTTATTGGTCGAAAATTTAATTAAAACGTTTATTCATTCATTTAAAGCTATGCATATTGTTTATAAATGATAATAAATCGAATAAGTAATGAGAAAATCGAATAAGTAATGAAGGATTGGAATAAGTAATGAGCACTTTACATATGTTGTATAGGTGGAAAATGCAATTAAAACGTTTATTCATTCATTTAAAACTATTTTTATTGTTTATAAGTAATGGGAATATCGAATAACAAATGAGGGAATGGATTAAGAAAAGTGTACTGAATATGTACACTGTAATAGAAAAGAGGAATAATAGAATGGGCAGGTTTGATAATTATTCAGAAACATTTATTGTGTTATTTCATAATTTTTAAATCAATAAATAATAGGTATTGAATTAGGAATGAAAATTTAGAATAGGTAATTGAATAAGGAATAAGGAAAACGTAATCAACTGCACCGTCGAATAAGTAATGGAATAAGGATTAGGGAATAGGGAATCAACTTCACGGACTTTTTTTTTAGGATGATTTGAGGAAATTTCATTGGTGGACTACTTTTTGATGACCTAATTGACGGCGTGATTCGGTAAATAGCGTCAACAATGTTAACGTTTGATGGTTATTAAGATTATTCTCTTAAGTGTAAATCTGGAATCTTGGGAAGAAATTTGCTGGATCATTTTTCTGGATTTTAAGGATCCGAAAGCAAATAATTTGGCCTGCTTCTTGATCTCTAGATAACTGTCTTTTTGGATACAAATTGCTAAGAAAAATAAAGCACAGTGATCCCCTCTGTTTCAATAAGGAAAAGTATAATCGATAATTTCTCTATCTAAATGTAAAAGATAAAGTCAAATAAAAGATTCAGGTAATTTTGGAAAATTTCCAGTTTTTTCTTATGCAATATGAAGCTCATTAAAGCAAATGGAAATTTAGTTAGTATTTTGCACAATATTTTTCTTGATATCCAAGTATCATTACCGTATCTTGTACTGAAAGGCAAAAAAATATTTCAAAACAAGTTGCCGCGAAAATGACAAGAAATATCTGTTATTCAGGAAAAAAATAAAAATAATCTATGAAAATGAATCATTACTGTTTTACATCTACCGACGCCTGTACTGGAAAATTAGTGCGGCAGCAAATTGGTTTTTAGCTTTTAATCTACTTTCTAAGATCAAACCCTTTTTTATAAGTATAGTATCTATATAACATGCGCGTGTGTGTTTCTGTAATGTATTTTATAATATCCAATGATCTATTTTTGTAAAGTTTGGAATTAATTTCTTACATAAAATATGGTTTCTACATTTATTCACAGCGTTTCATAAATACATGTGGAACAATTTTAAAGAAGTGATCATCTTGAATTCTGATCTAATTCTATTATAAACTTCGACTGCAATACCAAGGAACAAATAGTAGTAATTTACATACCCTGTTCTTGATGTCATCGTATTGCTGATCAGTTAACACTCCATATTGTAGCAAATAGTCCATAAATTCCTTTATTTCAAGAGAGTTATTAATCCGGCTGTAGTTCGGACTGATGTACTTTCTCAACATTTCAAACGACCCATCTTCTTTCCCCATCGTCTTAAATCTGTTTAATTTGGTCATTATCGTTTTTGTTTGACGTTTGACTACCGTCTTTGTATCGTTGATGCCACTTAATATCTCACTTTGCTGGTCTCTCATCTCCAACAGAGAAGTAGACTGCTGTTTAGCTTCTTCTTGAGAGGCTCTCAACTGTTCCTGTAGTTTCTTCTGGTGTTCCATGTCGTCTTTTCTTTTCACATCGAGTTCTGCTTTTAAAGATGCCAATTCACTCTGTATCTGTTGAAGTAGTTCAGGCTCTTTTGAAGCTTCAGTTAATTCATTTAGAATAGGCTCCTCAGGCAAACCTCGACTCGGGAAATCTGAAAAGATGTTTAGAGGAATGCAGCTGATGCTGAATTACCTTGGAATGGAAACCGTTTTCAATCCAGTTCCTCGAAGTGATTGGTAATAATATTTCTACATATATTTTCGTAGGGCTAAAAAGTATATATTGTGGTAATTGGTTACATTGTCCTAAAGAAATCCAAATCTTAATCTCTTATTTTGTTTTAGCTTATTGATTTGTAAACGAAAAATCAACAAAAGAAAATAAACAGTATCATCAATGAAATCTTAACATGCATTATGTCATTTGTGTTATTCTGAAATAGATACCTGAACCAAACTCCAGTGTACAACCAGAAAAGATGAACACTGGCCATCCAGATGATTGCATTGGAACCTTGACCTGGATTTGACTCGTCATTGGGTCACTTAATACGTTGTTTCGCAGAACGACGGACAGTTGAGGTTTACAAATATTCATGTATCTGGCGTCACTGTTTGTCCTAACCAAACATCTGAAATTTTCGTCGGATATAGCGCGTATCTCACACACTGCGTGACTTTCCTTTCTCATCACCATTAGTTTTATCTCTTCATTTTGATGTAACAGTCTATTCCCAAAACAAATCTCTGTGCATTCGATAGAACGTCTATATGTTAATTTGTCTACACTAAGGTGTTCAGTATGGTCATCAACGCTAACAAATCTTAGTTGTTCCTCTCTTTGGCAACCTGCAATTAAAAATTCATTCACTCTATATATGTTATATACATTTGTCACATTAATCGCTCTTTAAATAAGAATGAATTCAAGATTGCATTTTTAAGGAATATGTGAATATTAATAATAATGTTGTACGTACCCTCTGTTGGCAAGGTTATTAGACTAATGTTTCCCTCCACACTAAACAAGAGATGCCAGGACTGGCCTGGTTCACACTTCAAATCATCAATCCGCCAAGCGTGATCATCACTTTGCATACTCTCCTTTTCCACAACAAAACTGTAATTTAAACAAGTCTTTTCTGTTCCCTTTGCGTCTTTGCTACCATTGTTCAGCAGGTGCTCATCACTATGAAGATGCATGTGATAAATATGCGTGTCGTAGGTGGCTTTTTCTAATGTTATTTTTGTCTGGCGTTCAAAAGCTTTAGCATTATGTGTCAAAACGACGTCGATCTTCCCTTTACCCTCCACTATCAGTTTGTACCTATGGTCAGGTACTAACGCCGGGTGAATACGTAAAACACTAGATTTATCTGCAATCCGCGCGGATCGATGGTCGTTATACAGTTGGACATTGTCTGAATGGTATGAATTGAATCTTAGATCCTCACTTTCCATAGTCATACCTGCAAAAGAAGAAACAATTATAGACATTTATTGTGATATCATGGTTTTGTAGATCAACTGTATACATGTAGCTCTGTAAAGATCAATGTGTAAATATGCAAAGTGACTTTGTATTTACGAAGGAAGATTTTACAAAATACACTTGATTATGCATTAAGGTGTAATGTAACACACAAAAATGTGACCAGAAGTCAATTTTCATCGATTTTGTCCTGTCAATATGCAATAGTCTATATACTCACTCACCGGATGGTCTAATACTACAGACATGCAGGTACACACCCGATATCCCTATTGCATAAAGGTAAATTTAGACTCCCAGCAAAAATACCTTGAATGAATTGAAAACACTGATTCGATGAACACCGAAGTTAATATACAGCTTTGGAGTATTAAGTTACTATATAAGGACATTTTACTAGATATTGCTTGCACCATGTGTTATAAATTGTTCATGGTTCAGCTGATATGAAAAAACTTGGACACAAACCAGGACGTGGTACACTATTAACTACCTTGTTTTGCGAGATATTTGTAATTCTACCATAACAATTAACATTCCTGTCTTGACGTAAGCTTTTACGGTATTGTGTATGCAAGTTTTAGATAATTAGGTTTCTACTAAAGCTGAACGTATTTTTTAGGACATATGCAAATATATGAAGTAAATATCTATTAAGCAGTCATTTAACTGTTAACAAGTTCGATTGTTAGTTACTTTTAGGAATATCAATATCGTCTCCAAAGTTTTCATTATTGTACAGCTCTACTGCAAAATCAATTGTGAATGATCATAACTAAAGGAACGTCCACCTTGTGACTATAAAATGATTCCTCGGTATGTGTATACATCTGAGATAGTTCTCTGCATATATATAATTATGACGTTGCTACAGACATAGTGACTTAAACAAAGTTTTAAATTTCAAGCCGTATTTTCACACAATAAAAGATTTGGCAAACATTAAGAAACTGTCATTGTGCTTAAGAACTCATTATAAAGTGCTCTAGTTGGTAGATACGCAAATTTAAAAAAAAACATTGTTTCAATACAATGGGGATAACAATATTGTGAATGACGTTATTTAAAAGATAGACCACAAAGCTGTAATTATATCATACATGATGCAATAATTCCCCTTAGTATTTTGTACATTTTAAATTTGTGTAAATATACGTTTTGTGATAATTAAGGTGTATGAAACAGTTCACAATTACAAAAAGCAACAAATACAATAAATAAAATATAATGTTGGAAGGAAACTTTTATATCTTACACCACAAGCTATTGAAACATGACACGTCAGTCTACCTATTCAATGTCCTCGTTCAAATTATGCTAGAGTTAAACTAGTTCTGTTGTACATTGATACTGATTTCTAAATATGGAAAAAAATGAGAAATACTCACGAAATCGGGAGATCGTGACCCCCTTGGCCAGAAGTATTTGTGTTACACACTGAACATATTTATATCCCTGCTGATAGTTCTTAACACTTCGTAGTGATTCTGAACAATGCACAGATAACCTTCTACGTTAAGGAATATATGTAACAAAATGCATTGCCCTACATTTTACTGGGTATTTCCTGGGTGTGTGCATGACCGCATTTCTAGCTGAAAATTTTCAGTGCGTAATGATAACTATATACCCGGATTTGGTTTCCTTTTGACTATATCTTTTAACCAGTGTAAGTTCTGTGTACATCTGTATCCTATTTCAAATATATCATAAAAAATATATATAAGACACCATTAAATATTCTGTTTATTATATTTTCATCGCAAAAATAAACCAAAACAATGGCAAACTGACGATAACTATAAAATGGGTAAGTTGACCATGCTTTTTCCAGACACTACGCACTCACTCATTATACAACGATGTTGTGCGCGGCAAAAAATAGTCCATTTCATGAAAAATCAGTAAAAATATACAGACTCATAAATAAATCATAATGAATGTTTATTTGTGTTTGGACATGGATTTTACAATTTATTGATGTCACTTATACACAATAAAATGGTTCAAACGTTAACTGGAAAAAAATTAAAAAGTAGTCCTGCCTGGAATTGGAGTAGATTTGTATCAGGCTCTCTGATGGTCAATCCTAAATCAAAAAAAATAGTTTGATATATCCCTATATTTCACTGCTAAATATGTAATATATATATACGCTATAACCACAAGTGTCTATTGCTATTGTGATACAGCTTCGATGTTTAAAATGGAAGTAGCTAGAATGTCATTTCCTTAAACCTACTAGTAAAGCATCCGCCGTGAGAGGTTAGTAGCTAGGACTCCAGAGATGGACAGGACATTTTTATTACTTCTTTCTTGATTGGGCGCTATGTTGTATTACTTTACATTTCACGTAGTTTAATACGTTATTCAGTCGATGACTGGGTTAGACTAAATTGTAGTTTAGATCACTCGGTCTTGATCATATTCTGTTCAGGATTTAATTCCCTTCCCAATCAGATCAATAATGGTTTGGAAGGTGATACCATTATTAAGGTGATGTTGACCTCATTTAGCGGTGATGTTGATCTCTCTTGGCGGTGTTGTTGACCTCTCTTGGTGGTGTTGTTGACCTCTCTTGGTGGTGATGTTGACCTCCCTTGGTGGTGTTGTTGACCTCTCTTGGCGGTGTTGTTGACCTCTCTTGGCGGTGTTGTTGACCTCTCTTGGTGGTGTTGTTGACCTCTCTTGGTGGTGATGTTGACCTCCCATGGTGGTGATGTTGACCTCCCTTGGTGGTGTTGTTGACCTCCCTTGGTGGTGTTGTTGACCTCTCTTGGTGGTGTTGTTGACCTCTCTTGGTGGTGTTGTTGACCTTTCTTGGTGGTGATGTTGACCTCCCTTGGTGGTGTTGTTGACCTCTCTTGGTGGTGATGTTGACCTCCCTTGGTGGTGTTGTTGACCTCTCTTGGTGGTGATGTTGACCTCCCTTGGTGGTGTGTTGACCTCTCTTGGTGATGATGTTGACCTCTCTTGGTGGTGATGTTGACCTCTCTTGGTGATGATAATCATCTGTTCGGGAGGTATCGGACACCTGTTCTTGCTTGTGAGGATCTCTGATGAAAGTGATACTAAGTTCTCTTTCAAGGAATTCCAGATTATCGTTGCAGGTGATGTTGATCTTTCTTAAGAATGACATTGAAATCAATTTAAGTGTTTTTGGTACCATAAAGCTGCTTCCATGTTTCCTGGCCTGATTTAATACATTTGGACAAGTTTTTTCCTCTATTCGCTCTCATTGCCTTTGTGGTACACATCGCTACTTCTTCAAACCTACAGAAAAACAAAGCACAACAAACAAAAACAAGACAACGCATGGCCCTGGTTTGTCGTGATCTGACAGAGGTTGGTCCATATCGTTCCTCTTGGAGTCACAACGGCTGATAAAGTTAGTAGAACATCATGACTGGATCCTCCTTAGAATTATTGTCTAAATGTTATTACATGCAATTTTCCTGGAAATCTGCCTGAGCAGCCAGTTTCCATGTTCGTAAACGTATATACCTGTACTTGTTCACAATCATCTCTTCTTCCATTTTCATCCATAAAGTTTTCCCACTGACCTTATCCTTTTTCCTTTCTGTCTGTTTTATTTTCTCCTGGAACTTGCTTACTTGGTGAAACCATCTCGCCGAGCCCTATCGAACGTTGTTGACAGAGATCGTGTATGTTAATACAGATTCTAATCACATCCTCCGTATTGATTAAGTTATCCATAGTTCACCAGTAATATTTTGCATATGCCACTAACGTAATACACTCTGGAGCGTTTTTTGTTGGGTGTGCCAGTCTGAAATAGATTGTGGTGTCATACGATAGACAATAACAATACAATTCACATCAGGAATCGAAAATGGCACCTCCAAATGACTGCCTCCATTTGATTTTTATCATAATTATGGCTTGAAATAGAAACGAATTAAATATACAGTTTGTCACATAACGTTGCCACTTTTGTTAACATTCGTGAAAACAGCATTACATTAGACTGGTTCAAATTCATATCATTCTCATTTTTTGTTGATGTCACATCAAAAATATGACGCCGAAAAGTTGTGAGGTTGGAATAAAGTTGTAAAAATATTACACGGTGTTAATGTGTATGTATGATTAACACAACTTATCCTTCATAACTAGAATTCAATCTGTTTCTTAAATTTCAGATATTGATGTGATTCAGTTGAAAACGTTATTGTTTTCATTTCTCTATTTCCTTTTTGTTAGTCACGAAATATTTAAAGTGTACACATAGCTGGTTTGGGTTTGGCAGTTGAGTGAGAGTTGTCTCCCGTTGAACCGGAGGAGGCATGTCCAATTCTGAAGCAGACAAAAAGTCGAATATAAAGACCACGACGAGATTCGAACTCGCAATTCTCCGATCAGAAGTCGGGAGCCTTATCCAGTTTGGCCACGCGGTCTTGTTCTGTTGTATTCAAACTAAATGTAAATAGCCTTTATGTGATATGATGGTGAAACACAATATATATGTAGGTATATAAATAGAAAACATCCAAAAAAGATGATGAAATGCTCTGAAATAATTTACACACTCCATTGCACAATGATAAGACGGAGATGAGTCAAACCTCAGTTTATAGCATGCCACGTTGAATCCTGTGATAAAAAAAGATATTGTGTTACTTTACATATGGTAGATAAGACTTATTACGCAGTATGCAAATGTGTTTAATTTCACGGCTATTAGGTAGGATACAGATCAAATATATAAACAAAATTATGAAGAATTGACAAGAACAAATTAAATAGGCCTTGAAGTATGTGGTGGTATAAATCAAATCATCATTTTTTTTTTTTTTTTAATTTTGATATTTAGGGGGTTACAGACGTGTGGGTGTATCTAACACACCATTTATTAACAAACAAATATGTGTAAATTTTCACAAAGTGAGATGATATGGTCTTCTGCACAAAATTAAAAGTAAAAGTAAACAAAAACGTATATGTATGTATGTATATATATATTATATGTATATATAACTATATCGCAACGCCATACACAGGTGAGAAGTTTACTTAATATGAACTAAACCCGAGATTATATACACGATTCATAATAACACACATATTTATATACATGTGTATGTATATATATATATATATCGTACCCCGGTTACAGGTAATCCTTTAAATACCTTATATCATAATTAGTTAAACTACGGGTAGTGTCCTCTCAAAGCTATCTTAGCAGTAACACATATATATACCAAAAGTTTTTGTTTCAACAGTATCACTTATATGCATGGATATCGAACCTTTGTAGTTTTAGATAGAAAATTACAGATTATACTGTGATATAGCTAATGATTACTATGCTATGCCGTTAAGTGAAACCTATCTCGGTGAAAATCTACTCGGTCATGATTCAGATTTACACTGTCTCAACAAACCTTACTCAGTCGACAGAAATATTGCTGGTGGTGGCATTTTGATTTTCGTATCGTCCCAAATAAAAGCTACTAAACGTTTAGATTAAGAATATATTCGTCAAGGATAGACCTGCAAATGTGACTAACCTTTTTGGGAAAGATTTCGTATGTCAGTACGAAAACCGTGGGTCATCAACTGATATAGTTACACACATATTAGGTGACATAAATGTAGAAATGCTGATTGTTTTTAGATCGCACTTTTTCCTGATGTTTTATCAAGCTTTGGTTTTGGGAAATACATGTATTATGAATTCTCCAACAAGAATAACCAATTATGGCGCACGTCTAATTGATCCTATCGTTCAGAACAGATAAAACATATAGAATCGTCATATTTACCTATAGAAAGGAATATCAGTGATCATGAAGAAGGTTTAGTGTATATAGAAGTTTTAAGTATAACTTTTTCCTTACGCGTGAGTTATGGTGCTATACCCATGCAGATTTTAATGGAATACGTAAGTAAATTGAGAGTGTTTCATGGGATAAAATGTTTAAGGAATCATGTGTAAAGTTTATTAATACATTTAAATCGATGGTAAGTCCACGTATCTTTAAAAAATATATATATAGTTACTGGAACTAATGACAAGTCGCGGATGACGTCTAAATTACAAAAAAATCCTATTACTTGTATTAAAGAATTATAAATAGAACAAATAAAATGAAAAAGTAAAAAAAATAATTTTATGCTGATCTAGTCTTATAGATAAGTCTATAGTATCAGATCTTAAGTCTTATAACACTGCGGAGGCTTTTGATCGAAACAAGTGGTAAATCCAATGAAATTCCTCCATTATTTGATCTTGAAAGTTGTGGATTTTTTAAACTGTGATTTTTGGCAGGTTAAGCTTTTATTTTTATTAATTTATTTTATTATTTCTATTATCATTATTATTTCTATTTATCTATTTACTTTTTCTATACGATACCTAGATGACAGTAATGCTTGAGTTCCATTTTTTTTTTATTCAAGATCTAATTTCTTCCTTGGCATCCATACAAATGACCCATTCGGAAATAAAAGTGGTCTTGGGAGTCCTCAGAATACCCTTGCAACAGGTTATGTTAGTCACTTTTAAGACAAATGCTAAATTTTCACACGGAAATGTTTACAAAAGTGCTTCAAAAAGGATAAATATTTTTTGAAGATAATAAAGATTTCTAGTAAACAGAAAAGTTTTGTGTAAAATATTCCTCTTTACGTTTTTCTTTTGATGGAATGTGAATGTGAGCTTTGGAATGTTTGTTCTAAAAAGCCCCAATGATCGACAAGAAAAAGTTTAACTGGAAGTTACTCGAGTGGAAACTGGATTGCTAGTAGGCTGGAAATCACCCAATCTCTATATCTGAAGAAAGATGGGCGACGTTAAAAATCATAGGAGAAAAATGTAGGCTTACTTTACAAAATGCATATACTGTACATAACTACCAGGTTTAGAAAGCGATAAAGCTCCTAATCATCCTATAAATAACAGCAACTATACAGTGTATGTTGGTACTGTCGTCGTAGTCATTTGACTTTTTTCGACGTCCGACGAATCCAAACCAGCTTGATTTAAGTTCTAGCTTTTAAAGATAAGCTGTGTTTATCTGTATGCCGAACTGCAACGTCTTCTGTATAATAACAACCGTTACATATTTTCTGTTATTAGTCATGACCTGATGGAGCTGTAATTTGTTAAATGTTCCACCATGACAGAATGTACGTATTTCTGATATCGAAATCATTGACAAAAGTGGTTCAGATTTGCCAATTAAGTAAGAGTTGTCTCCCGTCGTCCATGAGGCGACCGGTTTCTACTTGACGTAGAAAAAAGTCATATGACCACGACGAGATTCGAACTCGCAATTTTAAAATATCCAGTTTGGCCACGCGGCCTTATTTTAAAATATCCCAACAAAACCTAAAAACGCTTTCAGTGATGTGATGGTGAAATACATAAATCTATATATAGAACACATCCAAAATGATGATGAAATGCTCCGAAACATTTTACATTCCGTAACTTCCTATATTACATCAAGGGCCGTTATAACATTAAAACAGATCGACTCCACTTTGCACTGAAATAGAGCTTACATGTATCGTATTCTCAATTGAAAATTAAAAGATAAAAGAATAGAGCTTACATTATCCAATATCTTTATTGAAGAAAAATCCGGAAATTAATTCCGGTTTATTTATTAGTCGTATAAATATTACCGCGGTTCCGGTAGCCGAAGTGCAAAGGTAGGCAACGTTTATCAACTACCAAACTGTTTACTTCAAGGAAAATAACGTAAGATAAAACTGATGTTCAGTGTGTGATTCTGTATTATTTACAAAGTTTGGCCACAAATAATAACATAGTGTTTTTTGAGAGGCATCACGTATATTACCCTATGTTGAACATCGGAATTGTTTTTCGGTTACTTTCGTTTTTGCCTCGTTTTCCCAGTATGCGAACGTGTACGAATTGAATTAGCGTTTTCATTTTTAACTTGATGTAATACGAACTCATTCGTAATATTATATAGGTGGTCTTACTTATGTGATGGTATTTTTCAAAGTCTGTTTAATTTGTACAGTATTTTACGTCATATACAGGAACGATATTTTAATGTTCATATCGACTCCTAGTAAGGCCTATCTATCTCCCTAAGCATTTTCTGTAGACATTTCAGCAAACAGCTGGAAGTAAACACGATCAGAATCAATAAATAATGACAACAAGGCTGTTTTCTTTTGTGTAAATCTCACTTTTTTAACAGATTTCTTTCAAACAGTACAGTTGTGTAGGCTCGATCACCATGGCATGGAGTAGTCCAAGTTATTGTGATGTTCGTCAATATTTTGTTTAATATAAGTCTGGATTTCATTGTTTCTGATTTAAATTTATTCATAGAATATCAGAATAATTCAGACTATAATTTCCTATAGTGATCATAAAGACGAAGTTAGAATATTTAACTTAAAGAATTTATGTTGATTTGAAGTTGTAATAATAATCATTATCCATTGCTATTTTTTCATTGTTTATTTACACTTTAGGTACTGAAGGCATCTACCAAGCTGTTGAGATTATTACCCATGGCCGAGGTTAATAAAGTCGGTGGTTCACCATACAACTTACGCAAAAATGCTCCCTCAAAAGGGCCATCACCAAGAAAACCAATCCGGAAAAATGATAAAAAAGAAAATGATAATGAAATAGACTTTTCAGGTGATGAAATAGACTCGTCTCCTCAAAGGAAAGAATCAACTTCACCTGATGCTCGAAATATTTCAAAACTTTCTGAGGATGGACAATCACCTCCACGAAAATCACCCAAAACATGTTCCCCAGTTGGCAGTTCACAGTCAGACCATGGATTTTCCAGTAATTCAAGTTTTGAAAGAAGTCCATCACCATGTAAAAGTAAGAAAGCTGAACATTCTACACAGGAAGCAAGTAAAAAATCTAGTTCAGGAGAGCGTTCATTCCACTCATATGCATTTATTGTCCTGGCCATTGTAATGGTTTTGTTTGGCATATACAGTAATTGTCATTTCTTCAACAATACTGATAACATTCGTGGAAACTTGACTCCAGAAGGAAACACAAAAATTTCTTTTGACCATTTTCAGAGAAGATTTAAGGATTTGAAGATGAAATTTCCTGGACAAGAGAGAATCTTTTGGAGGACAATCTTTGGATTGCTCCGACCCATGATAGTGGAGACAAACCCTGCAGCTCCTGCTGTATTTATGATGGTTGTCCCAAAAAACCAGGATGGAGAGTCACGCACTGCAGAATGCTTAGCTAAACAGTTACTTACTCTATATTCTGGCCTGTTTAACAGATCCCATGGGAGCCAGGGGTCACACATACATATAACAAGAGATCTCAGTCATGAGAGTCCTGCAGTAGAAAAAAAGGAGTTAGATAACAAGCTTCATTATATTTTTGGACAGTCACAAGGAAAAGGTGTGATTCTGGATAATTTTGAATCCTTAACACCATTTGCAGCACTTCTTCTTCATGGCTTCTGTGATGGTGATAATGCTCCTTATAAGGATGTTCTATTCATTCAAGTCGTCTACACTGACATGAAAGCAGAGGAAATAACTAGTCAGAAAAATTACATGGACAAGTATTTGAAAGAGTTGTGGATCAGTGACCTAGATGAAGATAAGATACAACCATTGCTTACAAGAATTGCAAATAATGTTGCAATGGTTTCACCAGAGACTGAACAGACACTTCAAAAAAACTGTTGAATTTTTGTTTTGTGAATATTTGTTATTACTAAAGTTTTGTTTTTCATTCTTTGAAGATAAAGTGTCAAGTGATCTCTTACTGTCATATTTTGGCTGTGGTAGATTTGTAACCAATATTCAATTTCATGTGTTTCAGTTCACGGAATAAATTTACAATTTTTGATAAATTGAAAGAATCTTCCATGCCCTTTGAAAACTAAATTGGAAATTGTAAATTAGTAACAAAAACAGATGACCAATAAACACTTGGGCAATGTTATCTAATACAGGAACTGTGATTTAAACTGATGTACTTATAAAATACATTCCTTGTGGGCCATAATATAGTATTCAATTATTCTAATGTGCCATGCATTACACAACCTTTTGTTTGACATTGCTGATAGCAAGGGATTAAATGTTTGACTTCAGGATAAAATCAAAGTGGACCTCCTTTTTCATTGGGAGTGAAACAGCAGGTTCAGAATATGATAGTGCCATATGACAACACTGTAATGTAAGGTCATTTTACAATTTTCAGTCTTTTTGTTTGCAGCTCATAGTTTATTGAAGTTTTGTAGAAGAATATATGAAATTAATTTGGGAAAATTACAACTTTTTCCTGAACTCGTGCATAATATATTTATATCATGTGAATATGTCTTTATCAGATGTTGCTGAAAGCACTGGCTAATATTACACAACTGTACACACCCCTTTGTGTGGTACACATTTTGTCATATGTTGATAGAATATGTTGTCATCATGCTTGAGTCGTTTATTTATCTTGGTGTAGTGCAGATACCCAATAAGAAAATCTTACATTGAGATGTTAAGAATACCAGGCTGGGATTAAGAAAAATCTATATATCTAAAAAACACTTACCTGGTATTTGTGTCAGAGATATGAATGAAAAAAGTAAGAGCTATTATTTTGAAAGTCTTCTATTCAACAAAATTATTTTCCTTGTGAATTAAGCCTCTTAAAGACAATTTAACATGTCATCAGTTTCACTAAGATGTCTGTTAATGCAAAATGTTTATTGAAAATGCAAGACAGACTACAGAAAAGACAAGTTAGCACGTTTAACAATACAGGAAAGCAGTCTCTTATTAAGGATAGAATTTCAATTTTCATTTCTCTGCAATTCTCATTGATATGCTACAATATAAACTACAGTGGATTGTATAGAGTGAAAATTACAAGTTTAGTTTTAGTTAGACTGAAAGGTGTCAAGGTTGGGATTCCCTTTTGTGATATTGTGGAAAGGAAATTTGTGATAACGATTTCTTTTAACATGCAGACAGTCTTCTAGTCTTCTTCCAGTGTTTTAACACATTTAAATGTATGTGCAACAATCACGCTTCACCTGCCTCGACCGTTTGTCATTATTTGCGTAGCTACAATTTTGCTACTTGTGGGCATGGTGCATCAATGTATATAAGCTTGTTTACTTTAAATGTGTCAGTGTTATTTTTACAAACTTTACAATGGTTATAGGACATTAAGTTTTGGACCTGTTTTACTGAGATATGAGACATGGCGTAAGGATTCTGTATGTATCCAGCAATTTGTATTTAGGGTAAAGCCTGTCAACTTTAAATAAATGGCTGGTCTGTGTTTTAAGTACAATGTAACTGGGTTAAGATATTCAAACCAGATATGGTTTAAACCCTTTTGTCGTAACCTGTAATTTCACAACATCCTGGTCAAATTTTGACAGCAGTTGTCAAGAGATAGTACCTATATAATCATTTGATTGACAGCATTAACCTGTATTCATGATCACAATCAAATTTGTCTGAAAGGAATGCAGCAAACAAAAATGAGTCAACCGAAGACTATTTAGCATGAGATTCATACATATATTATGATTTTTAATATATAGATAATCAATTGGTATACTGGTTCATTTAAAATTTGGTCGAGTGAATGACTTTGATCAACTTTCAGTATCATGTTTGAATAACCATTTTCAAAAGAGCAGGTGGGATGGAATTGTTTGTTATAGACATATATAGGTTTCAACATAGGTTTACTGGAAATGTACTTTCTCTGATAACTGGTACAAACCAAAATGCCTTCATATCTACATAAGTTTGAATCGCTAGAATTGCTCTTGTGAGGGAACATGAAGTGTGAATGAACCTTATCTAGTTTAACAGGTTTGACATGTTTCTGTGTACAATCAAGATCACTATTGCTGCAGGTAGATGTGTTAAAAGATTTCCATATAATTCTACACAACTTCAAAACCTCTATCTTTGTTATGCACAGCAGTGGCTTCCTAGTATAAATGTATTATAAATCTTTTCACATCACAATGTATACAATGTTAATATACAAGTATTTGTGTTACCACGCTTATGTTGAGTAGATGCACTTGTTTTTTTTTTTCTTCAATAAAAAAAAAGTTGATAGTAAATAGTGTTTGTTGATTAACATTCAGTGACACTTTTAGACAGACCTAAATTGGATGTAACTTTGGGTACTTGAATTAAAGGTGTACTCATCTACATGTATGTACACTAACACTGATTGATAACATAATAATTAACAGATATTTCACTTGCCTAAATTTGTATAAGAATTTAAAGTTAAAGCCTGTGTTAGAAGTGTTTCTAGTGGATTATGAACATATTTTAGAGCCCCTTTCCCCCTTTTGTTGTCGATAATATTGTAGGCAAGTGGAATGAAAGACTCTTCATAGATTTGGTATATAAATTATGATTAATAATTATGATGCAAAAATTAAGTCGTATTTTGATTTTAAAATTGTCATTCAGTGTGAAGTGAATCCTCATTGGCATTCTCTCGGATGCTGAGTTCACTCGGCAACAACTGACGACATAGTTCTATGAAGAAATATACTAGTTAAAAGAGATGTCATTATTTCACTTTTACTGAAAATTAACAGATGGATCTCTTTCTCAAGTGCATCGGGATGCCTTGCACACATTCTGTTGTAGCTCAACTAGTACTCATACAGTCGGTACCAGTACATGCACGTGAACATCCCCCGCTATTTAAGATTTGGAAAAATAACCCAAATTGTTATTTATTTTCAACCAAAATACATACAGCTCCATCTGTTTCTTTTCCCTCGTTTTCTTGTAGTAATATTCAGTAAAAATTAGAATAAAATTCCTAATTTTCCAAGCAGTGTGGTATTTACAAAATACAACATGAGTGAAGTATTTTTGATGTTACCATAAATAAATGTGTGGTATGTATAGGTATGTGGCCGTTATGGACTTTAAGATTTCAGTACAAAAATTATTTAAGGTCTTAAACAAAATGATCTAGCTGTCAAGTACGTAATCACACTGATTGAAACAAGGTTATTTTAGATCAAGATCACAGCGGCAAGTTTCATACCCGTTGAACTCTAGGTGTATATAGTTGTTATATGTCTGTAAAATTTAATGAATATTGACAGGCACGTAATGAACTTTCTTCTTGTAACAAGACGTTTCCTGGTCAAAGAATTTGAAACACCTGTAATTTGAACCCTTTAAAATCTGCTGTCTACGCTACAGGCGCAAATATTGTGACATGTAACGGGACTATGTTATTGCAGATAAAATATTCTGAAGTCTGATATACAGTAAAAAATATAATTGTATGGCAATATTGTTGGAAACCATGTCTTTTGTTTCCTAGACAAAGGTCAGGTTCAGACGGCTGAATTGAAGTTCTTTTTTATATATTGTTATAAATACGGTTTGCGTTAAAAATAAAATGCATTTAAAAGTAAAGATCGGATGTTTGCGTTGAAAGATGACTATAAAACAATACCAGAATCTTATATACAAATGATAACAGGCAGCCTCATGGAATTTATATCCCCCTCTTTCCAAACATATTGTAAGTAAAATTTTTAGAGGTTAGGAGTAAACATGTCATAATGCTATGTAGAATGATATAGTTTGATAATAAACTGATAATATTTGTGAGACTTCAAATTACATCTAAATCAGACATATCAGAATATTTTTGACGTTCGTGCAGAGTTACCTCCCCGCACGGAGCTTTCCTACTTGATTTTATTTTTATGTAAGCATGGCGGGTATTACGCGCACCTCACGGAAAGAAATTGCTTACAGGGGAACTGTGGTGAGTTCTTGTGCGTAAGTAATAGTTCTTTTTGTATTATATTAATATTATTTAATTGATGAAATGGTGCTTGAGCTGTAGTTTTTAGAGATCGCGTAGTATCGTATTTTATGGAAGCGTAGAATTTTATGGAAGCGCACTGCAACCGGTGCAAGGGAAATTTTAACCCATTTAAACATGCCAAGAGAATCATTTAGCAAAAGTAATTTTAAATGTTAATTATTAACAGGGATAATATCAATTTTATTTTTATTTATTTATCTATATTTGTTTATTTTTTATTTATCGAAAAACACATGAGGAATAAATAGATTCATATATACTATCAGTCTATAACTCCCATCGTCACACACTTACAGAGTATAGACATGCATCATTTTCACCACTAAACACACAGCATTTTGAGTTGCACACTATATCTTAACTATCATAGACACTATGTAACACAATCACTCTAAACATATATTTATAACTTGCAGCCATACTAGCACTCCAGCATTGTTTCATATACAAACAACATCAGCATCTGACATCAACGTCATCATATACAATCATCATCCTCGTCACACATTAGCATCATCACATACCATCAGCATCATTATGGTCACCTATCAACATTAGCATCATCACACTTCATCAGCATTACACATCCGCATTATCACATACCAAATCAGCATCGTCACACCTCAACATCATCATATATACCAACATCAGCAGCATCACACAGCAGCATCACACATCCTCATTATCAGCTTCTTCACACACTTTAACTTCCATGCATAAGGATGCTGCAGATTCTTAGACACAGTCAACATCATTATCTTCATCATCAAGCACACATTGACATGCTAATTTCAGTAATTTCTCCATAAACTAGTATGGACTCATAATAAGTGAGCAACTGACAGCTGTCACTATATCACTATAAGATAAATGTTCCTAGATATAATGAAATAGACAAATAAAAAACAAAACATGTGATGATTTTTTTTATAATTCTTTAAACAGCAGACAACTATTAGCTGTTAATAATGAATGTAAATCAATATCAGAAATACTGTCAGTTCTTACCATTGCTTGTGAAGTGATTGATTCTAAGGTGACCGATAAGGCCCATGGGCCTCTTGTTTCTAATCTTAAATTAATTTTTCAATGTATTTTTATGCACAATATGCGTACCTCAAGTGATTTTGCTTATTATTTTAGATTTATGATCTTTACATTTATTTACTCCTTTTTTTTGTTTGATATTTATGTATTTTATACATCCGTCAAATGACAGGACATATTATGGTATTCTCGTCTTCCATCCGTCCATCTTCCGTCCGTATGTCCCTCTGTTCGTAAACATTTCAATGTCCCAGCGATTTTGGAATTTATTAAGCCTTAACAGATTTCTTTTAACTTTCATTGCAAGCTTAAGTACAATCAAAGCTAGATTGAGTTTGATTTCCATGATTTTTGATCCACAATTTTTAGAGTTACGGCCCATTAATGTCTGTAACCTTTTCAATGTCGGTGCAATAACTTTGCAAAGTATTACGCAATTACCATTGAAACAAATGCAATATATTATATACAGCATAAATAGTGTAGGTGATAGTCAGACAAAATCACAGGCGTATTTCGTGACCTGAAACAGGCTCTTGTTTGTTTTTTTTTGTTTCGTGTGACAAATTAAAATGATTGTTCAATATATGAATATTGTCAGCATTCCATTATACCTTCATAGATCCCTATTAGGATAAACTGACGGGACAGAGCTTGTTTGTTACACTATCAGAATAATGTAAATCTCTCATACTGGTGGAGGAATTACAGTGATTCTAGCATTAAGTTGTATGGTTTCCAATTTATTTGCAGATAAGTCAATACCATTATTACTATTGCAGCCATGGTCTTTTGATGGCGTCGTTAACTTCACCTTGTCAGAATATCCTAATGGGGCAATATTTTGTACATCATGTGAGAAAAAAAGGCATATTTACAAAATTAATAACCAGAAGTAGCAAAATCACAGGGACTTTTCGAAATTATTTTTATTATCTTAATTATCTAGACAAGCCATTGTGGCTACATATAAATATGCAAGTGTTTCTGACTTCGTTTTAAATAAAAAAATAGTTGTGGAGTGATGGCTTTTGATAATGGATATATGTATATCTAGTTTTGATATATGCTTTATTTGACAAGGAATGTCAATTTATTGTTGTTAATAAAGTTACTGTTTCAATTTTGTTGTCATTGGTCCGTTTTTCCTTGGCCCGGAACTATTTCTGAAGGCGTCTATTTGCATCAACACTGCATCGTCATGCCGGTAATTACGGGCTTAAAATAGATTTTCTGTTGACCAATTTCATTTGACAGATGGGATTAAATCCCTAATGCGTCATATCGAGCGTAATAGCTTATTGAATAAATATTTATAGCAACCTATATTGAACTTGGGGAAACCCGTTCGTCCGCCATGGTGTTTCACGTTGTAATAGCAGCAAGCTGCAAGATGAACTCGAGTAATTTTACGGATGTTTCCTTTGATTGCTTTTCATTATAACTACTGGAGCATGCATAAAACATCCTTGTGTCGTTGTCACGAAATGTAATAGATGTAGCAACAACCATTTGTACCTTAACTTTAATAAAAACATGCCAAATGTCGTATCTTTCTAATGGGAAGCCTGTTACGACGGAGATGTGAAGGGGACGTAACTCTTGGCGAACGACTACTATGTTCTGATATGTTATATTTAGGAAAGTTAGAGCACAAAAACTGACCGACCAAAGAAATGAAAGGATACCTAATTAGGATGCATAGACATTAACAGATGATGCTGATTACTGAACTCAGTCTTATGTGCCCTAATTTGCATCTGCTGACCAAGTTTCATCTAAAACGGATTATATTTATGGAAGTTAGAGCACCGAAATGAACCGACCAATGAAATTAAAGGATACCTCATTAGTATGCATTATTATTAACCGATGACACTGATAGTCAATCTCAGTCTTAATGGCCCTAAGATGCATCTGCTGACCAAGTTTCACCCAAATTGGATGATATTTGGGTAAGTTAGAACACGGAAACGAAAGTGTGACAGACAGACGGACGGGTAGACAGACAAACCCAAATTAATATCCCCCGTTTCGGTGAAAGCGGGGGATAAAAAAAATGTATGACATAGATCTCTTACATAGTGCGAGTACATTGTTTGGACGAATTCCAAGCTTTTGATTCTTAATGAAAAACTAAGGAGCTATCGAGGAAAGTCGATATGTGGTAGTGTTTCATATCTTTGTGGCAAATGTTGCATTCCCAAATTATCAAGCAACATAGTGGGGTATATTGTCAGAGTTGTCATTGTGATGATTTCTGAAACCTGTTTGACGTTATCAAAGTGTCCACCATATCAAGAAGGTAGGGTACTCTTTAAGTGACTAGCAGTATCAATATTCCTGCATTACATTGGAGATATCGCTTGTCAAACTGAAGCCGTGAAAACCTGTCTGAGTATATCAGGAGTGTTGACCCTTGTAAATCCCTATACGTTTTATCACATGAGTTGTGTTATACACAAATGCAATAGGAAAACATGTGTACATCGTTGAATTTAAAACGTCCCGGATCGTGATTGTTTTTCATACAGTAGGCTTTATGTATTGCAAAATAAATACCAGTAGTTTAAAGTCCAGGTACGTGTACGCGCACTGTGATATAAGTCATTACAAATGTGTGGATGCACAGGCATCTTAATATACACTCTTAGGCGGTCGTACAGTTTATAGTATGTAATTTAAATGTTCATTGGTACTTCCTTCAATGTTTTAAACCTCATACATCTTTTCAATGGTAAAATCTGTGCATATTACATAAATATGCATTCCACTTGAAAAATACAATGCAAATATAATAACGTATCTTGAACAACTAGTTTCGTTTTGTGCATATAAAACATTGAAGGCAATGTCTACATGCCCATACATGGTTTATAACTAACGATATACCACATATGGAAGTTGACATGGCTCTAGCACGCTTTACGGGGATTGGTTGTTTAAATCAGACTGGTATCGATTGTTTTTTTTAAGTTTAGTTACTTACCAAACAAGGAAGTAAACATATAACGACTGCCTGAATAGGACTAGTCTAAGGAGTGAATTATACAAGTATCATTGTCAGATTGACAATCTGATTTCAAGTTGGTTGTAAAGCCACGTTTTTCGAAGACAGTTAGATACACTGCTCATTAATAACAAACTGTAATTGCGAGAAGGAAATTCCAAAGTTTCTGTTATTGAAAAAAAATCATCATGGCAGTCATGCAACGACAGCACTTAGGTATACGGGAAATTGGAGAATCCGTGAATATCCCACCGAATCCCGTGGCGCGGGCTATGTTTTATCTGAGGTGCATATGCAACGTCTTGGACCTAAATGATGGAAGCAGTAATCTCCAGAGATTTACTGACTTCAAAAACTTTTACCTTTTGACAGATAACGAGATTGACGCGCTAACGTTGCTTATATCATCCGTGAGACCACAAGATCTGATTGGTAAATGTTTGTTCCACAATGAAGAAATATGTGGAAATTCCAACAACAAATTCTTCGAGCTTCAAGAAATGAGACAAAACATGGTAATAGTGAATGACATTCTCATTGCTGGTCAACAGCGACGTGTGAATAGGATTATGTTCTTCAAAACGGCATGGCTTGAACTGTATTGTATTGCCCCCTTACGTTTTTTGGGTGACCGCATGATACGGCGAAAGGCGGAGCTCGACGCAAGAAATGCTCGACTGATGTATTACCATCAGACGGGTTCTGGCTCTAGCTGTTGTACCATACTTTAAGCATTTCTCTTTTTCAATATAATAGAGGAAAACACGACTTTATAAAATTGATATCCTAATACCGTCCATGGACATACTAATCTTTATCATTTAAAAGAACGCCGTTGCTTCATTCAGCGAATTCACATTGTGTATTGTGAAAATGCAAGATATACTATATCCATACAACTATATATATGAATTTACATACTGTGTGTGTTTTACTTCATTGAGTTTAAACCCAAGCAATGACACGACGCAAAATGAGGACCATGGAAGTGACAACGAAGCGATCAAAGACACCGAAGCGCACCAAAGATATTACAATTTGTGATGCATACGGGAACCCCACAATTCTGTTGGGTATATAAGATGAACGTGGTCATTAAATCTATTGTTATCAATAGACAAGACGTCATCAAAATATCCTAACGTGAAAAATGAAATCAATCTTCGCAAGGCCTTTGTTACTTGTTGTGAAAAGCCTCGATAAATCCAGTCTAATATCAAAACAGAAACAAGTAAGCTCACAGACGGGCAACGTTAGTTCCCATAGTTATGGCAATGCAGTTTTTGGAAGATTTTGCCACCACGCTCAATGGAGATGTTATCAACCAGAAACTTATCAGGGAAATTTGATTTGATTCTAAATTTACCTGCTTTTAAAAGTAACTATCTATAAATCGCGTGGTAAGATCCGGAGTGCGGTGGGGGGTGTATGTTTGTTGTGGCCTTTGTGATTAATTAGGCGTAAAGTGAGAGAAATCTCTGCAATTATCGTAGCTTGTTTTGTGGAGAAACAGAAGTCGCATATTACTCGCCAGTCCAAGTCAGATCGAGACCCAATGTCAAATAATATGCTAATCATGAACAATTATGACAATAGGTTGTTCATATGGCTAAATTGAAGTGCTGTCAGATTGTAAACGATCACAGGAAATAGATACTTAATGGTAACTTAGCTGTTTCTTAGATCCTTATATCACTACAGTTCTACTCACTAATGGATTATGTACTGAAGCATTAATATCTCAGTTAGGCAGGGTAAATTTTTAAATCGGATAACATGAGAGTGACTTAAGTGTTCCAGTTATATGTGCATATGGTAATACCCGTGTGATAGGACATTCCTGTGTAGTCTAGTATTGCCATAAGTCTATCTCATATAAATCAATTGACATTGTGCATATCAAATCAGGAAAACATGGCAGCCTTGTTTACCGTGTAGCCAACTTACTTTAACATCTAGTTAGAATCCATTGATTGGTATTCATCAACCTTTGGGAGCAGTTGTCTTGAAATACTTTTGAAGTCCCCATGGCTCAGTCCGATGATCTTTAATATTTTAATTAATGATATTTTTCAATATGGTAAAGACTTTTCAATTTATAATTTTGCTGTTGATAAAACACCTTTAATTACATTCATGAAAATGCCTTGGCAATCATGCAAGTTTTAGAAAGAGAAACCTCTATTTCAATCCACTATTTTTATGAGAATAAAATGGAGTCTATCCCTGAAAAAATTAAAAACAGTTTCAGCCATTTTAACGTCGCTAGCACCAATATTACTGATGAAGAGTCAGTAAAACTGATTTTGCTTATTATTTTAGATTTATGATCTTTACATTTATTTACTTCTTTTTTTTTGTTTGATATTTATGTATTTTATACATCCGTCAAATGACAGGACATATTATGGTATTCTCGTCTTCCATCCGTCCATCTTCCGTCCGTATGTCCCTCTGTTCGTAAACATTTCAATGTCCCAGCGATTTTGGAATTTATTAAGCCTTAACAGATTTCTTTTAACTTTCATTGCAAGCTTAAGTACAATCAAAGCTAGATTGAGTTTGATTTCCATGATTTTTGATCCACAATTTTTAGAGTTACGGCCCATTAATGTCTGTAACCTTTTCAATGTCGGTGCAATAACTTTGCAAAGTATTACGCAATTACCATTGAAACAAATGCAATATATTATATACAGCATAAATAGTGTAGGTGATAGTCAGACAAAATCACAGGCGTATTTCGTGACCTGAAACAGGCTCTTGTTTTTTTTTGTTTCGTGTGACAAATTAAAATGATTGTTCAATATATGAATATTGTCAGCATTCCATTATACCTTCATAGATCCCTATTAGGATAAACTGACGGGACAGAGCTTGTTTGTTACACTATCAGAATAATGTAAATCTCTCATACTGGTGGAGGAATTACAGTGATTCTAGCATTAAGTTGTATGGTTTCCAATTTATTTGCAGATAAGTCAATACCATTATTACTATTGCAGCCATGGTCTTTTGATGGCGTCGTTAACTTCACCTTGTCAGAATATCCTAATGGGGCAATATTTTGTACATCATGTGAGAAAAAAAGGCATATTTACAAAATTAATAACCAGAAGTAGCAAAATCACAGGGACTTTTCGAAATTATTTTTATTATCTTAATTATCTAGACAAGCCATTGTGGCTACATATAAATATGCAAATGTTTCTGACTTCGTTTTAAATAAAAAAATAGTTGTGGAGTGATGGCTTTTGATAATGGATATATGTATATCTAGTTTTGATATATGCTTTATTTGACAAGGAATGTCAATTTATTGTTGTTAATAAAGTTACTGTTTCAATTTTGTTGTCATTGGTCCGTTTTTCCTTGGCCCGGAACTATTTCTGAAGGCGTCTATTTGCATCAACACTGCATCGTCATGCCGGTAATTACGGGCTTAAAATAGATTTTCTGTTGACCAATTTCATTTGACAGATGGGATTAAATCCCTAATGCGTCATATCGAGCGTAATAGCTTATTGGATAAATATTTATAGCAACCTATATTGAACTTGGGGAAACCCGTTCGTCCGCCATGGTGTTTCACGTTGTAATAGCAGCAAGCTGCAAGATGAACTCGAGTAATTTTACGGATGTTTCCTTTGATTGCTTTTCATTATAACTACTGGAGCATGCATAAAACATCCTTGTGTCGTTGTCACGAAATGTAATAGATGTAGCAACAACCATTTGTACCTTAACTTTAATAAAAACATGCCAAATGTCGTATCTTTCTAATGGGAAGCCTGTTACGACGAAGATGTGAAGGGGACGTAACTCTTGGCGAACGACTACTATGTTCTGATATGTTATATTTAGGAAAGTTAGAGCACAAAAACTGACCGACCAAAGAAATGAAAGGATACCTAATTAGTATGCATAGACATTAACAGATGATGCTGATTACTGAACTCAGTCTTATGTGCCCTAATTTGCATCTGCTGACCAAGTCAATACTTTAACATCTAGTTAGAATCCATTGATTGGTATTCATTAACCTTTGGGAGCAGTTGTCTTGAAATACTTTTGAAGTCCCCATGACTCAGTCCGATGATCTTTAATATTTTAATTAATGATATTTTTCAATATGGTAAAGACTTTTCAATTTATAATTTTGCTGTTGATAAAACACCTTTAATTACATTCATGAAAATGCCTTGGCAATCATGCAAGTTTTAGAAAGAGAAACCTCTATTTCAATCCACTATTTTTATGAGAATAAAATGGAGTCTATCCCTGAAAAAATTAAAAACAGTTTCAGCCATTTTAACATCGCTAGCACCAATATTACTGATGAAGAGTCAGTAAAACTAATCGCCACAAGATAAACATTGTTGTACATTGTTCTTGTACGTCTGTGTCTGCTACTAGATGTACGTGTAACCTAAGGAATGAAAAAGAAGGGAATGTAGCTTGATTGGTATTTGCCAGCATAGCATAAATGGACCCCTTCCAGTCACCAATATGCATACATGTATATTTCACACTTATATGGTACCTGTTTTGACCTATTGAGGAGGGGGGATGCGGGTCCCATTTTTCAGTTTTCTGCATCTGTATTTTTCATATCTATATTTCAGTGATTTTATCGATTCTACTTGTATTCTGCCAAAACTAACACCACACAAACTACACTCGGCTCAGGTAACAGAATCAGAACTCTCACTTCCCGTTAGCCGTGATGGAAACGGATGCAACAAGTTATTTGACAGGTCAGATTACATTCATCCCAAAAGAACCGAATGATGTATAAACACATTTTTTACCTGAGCAGTAGTTTATGCTGATTTTTTATGTTTATGGATGTTGTCATTTACTGATATTTCTTATTGATTGTTATGTTCATTTGTATCTTTTCAAAATGCAGGAAATGGAGCCAAAATTTTCAAAATTTTCTGGGGCAGACCCCTCGCCAAAGCTTCGCGCCTTTGGCGTGCGTTGCCAGATTTTTGATCAAGGGAGTCAAAAATACAGCTTATGTTTTAATACGTTGACCAAGTATTCTATTTATCTTGCTACATTGCTTGAAAATCAGTCTATTAAAAGTTTTCTTGTTCATTTTTTGTTTTCGTGATGTTGACGTCACGCTGAATTTTGCCTGAGGACGGACTACAAAGTAAATGCATCGCACGGAAATATAATTCCAAACTCCATCTGGTATTACAGCGATTTTATTAATTTTCATAGATCAACCTGTTCATTACAACATGTAATATCGCTTATTTCAACAACTATTCATATTTCTAAACGTAATATTTAAATAAATTCAGAGAGTAATTACCGCATGTGCTAAAATACAGCAATTTTCCGTCACAGCCGAATACAGCAAAATTATATGTGGCAGCGCCAGGTACAGGATAAAAGGAAATCCCACACCAGTAAAAAGCTTAGGGCTGGCCTGTCCGGCGAATAGACCGGAAATGTTTGTCTCTAAAATGAGAATTTAGTGTCATTATTCACATTTATTATGCTGTTATTGATATTAACGTTTGAATGACTATGATCATTTAAGAGACAGAATAGGCCGTGTTTACAAAATAAATAAATAAATAAATAAATAAATATTACTTTTTCTGAACACAGAAAAAAAAAACAATTGAGCTCGCTTGATGACAAAGGAAACATCATGCATTCTTCCAAACGAAGAAATATTATGTCAAAATAAATAACTACCATTCTAAGCACAAATAAAATTTAGGTTACAGTCTTATTGTGATACTGTTTACTCAAGAAAGTAATTAATAGTATGTTGATTATAAAGAACACCAAAGAGTTTTTGACCTATCAACACCCTCTTCTGGTAAGCATTCCTTCTTTAAAACATTTGAACACCACCGTGCCCGTTTTAAACTGAAAGAACGCCTTCGTTCTCTTATCATAAGAGCTTTCTTTTACCGGAATGGTGAACGGTGGTATAAATATATGGCTGTGAACTATACTAAAGCGTATTTCGCAGAAATACGTCTAAATCAAAGTTGATCTATACTGACTACTAAACATAAAAACGATAGATTTTCTGGTTGACAACATTTTCATCGAGTTTGGTGGTATGAACTTCCAACAGACTATTGACATACCTATGCAATCTAACAGTGCCCCTCTGTTGACTGTTTTGCTTTTGGTATCATACGTGTCTGAATTGATCGAAGAACTTATCAAAACAGGTCACAAATACATTGATGACTTCTTGTCTTTAAATAACAAGAAATGTATTGACCATGTCCGTCGTGTATATCCACCAAAAATCAAGGACAGGACACACTCTTCCTACAGCGAAACCAATATGGACAGCTTTGCACCAAACAATATGATAAGCTTGATGATTTTAATTTTCCTATTGCGAATTTTCCATTTCTGAATGGCAACAACCCCGCACCCCCAACATATTCAGGTTATTCTGTCCTAGTTCTGCTACATCTTTTCTGTGGACGTCATTCAATCGATTTGGTCACACCGATTTCTCCTCTTTGGATATAAACACACTGCGGGAAATGGTGCTTATTGCATCTGTATTAAACACAATTTATATACCAAGTACGTCATAGGGCATATCGGTTCATATTTAACCCCAGTATCACTTTCATACAACAAACTCTTAACTAAATACATATTTAGTTCAACACATACTAGGTATATCTCAAATCTTACATGTACATGCTGCATGTCCATCTGCAACACCGTTTTTTTCAATGAAGCTAAAATCAAGCCATGTAACGAAAATAAACCACCTAACCTTTAGTAGGCAATATATGATGCACGAAACATCGTTTTGGAGGCGATCGTTTCTCTTACTTTTTTCATTTAAATCCTAGCCTTTCTTTTGGCTAGACTTTCAATTGTTTATTTTCTTTTTGTCGATCATCGCCAATATACGGTTACTTCTGTTTAGTAGAACATAGGAAGGTGGGAGTTAGACTACGCTGCAACGAAATTGTTTATGAAGTGATCAACAGACACATAACGAAGTACTTCTCCTAATTTTACCACATACCTATGTGTTTACAAAATAAGTTTTTTATCCACTTATCAGATCCACAAATAAATTAAATTTATTTACATGGTTAGTGTGAGACACAAAATATTGGTCACATCAAATTATAAAATCTAGTTTATTGTCTGTATTTAAACCACACTGTTCATTTCATTACGCTCCTTTACACGTTTGTTTATATATAGACATGACCAGGCATGACCACCAAGCTTATTACTTGCACAGATGAGATCAATCAGATTATACTAGCCAACAAAAATCTACGTAATGTAATCCAAGATCAGTCCAAGACCCAATACAAGTGAGTAAAACGTAACGGTGACACAAGAAATGTAATGCCACTTAGGGCATTACTAACATAGATGTATTCATTTATTTAAAAACTGTTTAAATCGAAGATGCATTTAAATAAACTTGAGAAGCGAAACAGGTAACATTCGCTTACTAAACACGTTGTACCAGCCACGATATCATGGCCGTTATGCAGAGAGAAAAAGTAGAGCTACGGGATGTTGGAGAGACAGTGAGTATTCCTGACCACCCCGTGGGTAAGGCCATGTATTATCTGAAATGCATTTGCAATGTCTTGGACCTTACTAAAGGAAATAGCAAACTCCAAAAATTCACAGACTTCGGAAATTATCGTCTGTTGACAGATGACGATATTGATGAACTAACTGTGCTGTTGTTATCCCTTGATCATAAGAATCTTATCGGCAAATGTTTGATTCCTAACGAAGAAGCGTGCGGAGATTCCAGCAACAAGTTTATTGAGCTTGAGTCTGTGAGAGAAAATATGGTTATTGTTGATGATATTCTCATTGCTGGGCAACAGCGGCAGGTGAATAGACTCATGTTCTTTAAAATTGTGTGGCTTCAAACATATTGTCTCACCCCCTTGGAATTTTTGAGCGAACGTTTGGATCGACGGAGAGCAGAACTCGCTCGAAGAAATGCGACACGGGCACTTCCTTACCCGACACCAACCTATAGATCACAGGCTAGTGTCCAATCTTATCCCATCAGCCACAGGACATCCATTTGCTGTACCATACTTTAAACGTATGGCTGTTATTTCAATACTATCTACTGGAACACTTTCCGCTGCATAACACACGATACTGTAAATCTATATAGTTTTAAATGATATATTAGTTACTGTGTGTTTATAACTTATGTTATGAAACTTATATTAACAACCATTTTAAAACAAGTTTAATCTATCTGGTAGTGTAGTAAGCAAAAATATATATGAAATATAGTATTACGGGTACAAGCGAAATGTCCTGATGGCACGGTGCCAATTTATCATGTCTTTCAACTGATCATTATGCAAATCAAAATCTTTTGTAAACGTATGTAACAATAATGAACACATTTCACAATGTTGTACTGTGATAAATAAAACATCCAATGCATGCACACTTGTACGTATTTTTTGTTGTTTTGTTCCGTTTGGAAAAGTGTAAATGTCGCTATTCACAATTGTCATTCAACTTATTTGTGACCTAAATATTTACTTATTTGAAGAACTTAGGATATGCATTGTTGTTTGTTTGCCGTACTGTTCACATCCGATAAGAAAATAGGCAAAGAAGGTCACACAAGATATTGCTTTCTTTCATATGAATAGCTTTTCAATACTAAAAGATAACAGGCATTGAATAAAAGAAATTATGTTCAAAACTAACAAATGTATATATTATATTTGATATTATCTTGATGTTTGCGTAGCGTATTGTTATATATACTGAATTTAAAGATTTCAACATTCCAGAAATGTATCAAAAGTTGTTTCGACATTGGACCTAAGCTTGTCTTTTACTGAGGTCGGTTTGAATAAAATATACCGGTAACAATAATGTCCTTGCATTATATTTCCTGTAGTTAAAAATCAATCAACAACAGACTTACAGAGAGTACTTTCCAAAGTCCAAATCATCTTTTCTATTATAAACTGTATCAAACTATAATTCCGCTAGTTCTAGTCGGTCGCTTGGAATTTTCGTTTTGATGTTTTGACGAATTAAAGGAAGAAACATCATGTAATAAACAGCATTTCAGCTTTGTACATGCATGTACACTTCCATCCATAGTTTGGGTGATGTTCAAGTATTTTCCTCCCTGTGTTCATATACCTACAGAAATTTCAAACATATCTACCTGATAAAAATTGCCATGTTGAAACACAAACATATTGAATGTTTCGTAAAATTACACATATCACCGTTTATGTGTTTCTGTTTGTGTGAGTGAAGGAGTATATGTGTGTGATTCAACGGATATCTATCATTAATATGACATTGGTAAGATTTTCTAGTTATCAACTAATGTCACATTTTATTACAGTAAGGTCGTGATTATCATATAAATCTACATTAGTATTACTGATAAATGTAGAGAGACGAAAACGAAACAAGATCATTTATTTCATATATACAATTCTGTATAAAATCAACGATGAGGCAGACAATGAAAGTGATGTCATGCAATAACCTTATTTCTTCTGCTTGTTGACCTTACTGCTCTTCTTTACACGCATTCACCGTCATGTACAAATTCCATTTTGCTGTATAAACAAAAACAACACACATGTTTATACATTTCCTTATATATTTTTTCATGTTTGGTCCGATAATAAACTAAACAAGTATCAGTTGATTGCTGCGGAATTCAGACACAATCAGTGACCAGCTCATAACACCAACCGTCAATAATAAATATATCTGAAACTAGTGCTGTAGACACTGATTTCAATTAAATGCAAATTAAGTCATAGATGTAGTGAAGAATCTTTTAAGATACCATTTCAGATGGTATTAATCCCTTATAGAACTAATCTCGTGACATAGGTGTCTTTTAAAATAACACTGGAATCAAAGTAAAAAATTATTGTGAAATTTCTTTATTTTCATTTCCTAGAGTACAAAATTTGTAACTCATTTCATTAACTATTTTTTTATAAATGTAATATTCCTTTTAATGTAGACAAAGTTACATTGATGTAACTACGTGTATGCGCTGTTTTTATAACGATGTATTTGATGTATTGTAGTTTTTTGCCATTTATTGTGAAAAATCAAGAATTACCTACCTGCATTTCATCTCTTCAATGGTTTCAAATGTGACATCATGTTCAGCACAGACTTCTTTATCGGGCAGGGGAGGCAAAGCATCTGTACAATTCTGAATAAAAAAGGGGCGACGTCAAACATGCAGTCAATCAGCTACAACGTCCGTATTATATATATTTATATATATTAATATTAAATTCCATGTTCTTACACAAACTATGAATATTCGAAGGTAGTTCAAACTTACTTCAATGTTATCACATGTGTCATGTCCAACTATTTCGTCTCCTCTGAAATTATTAAACAAAACAAGACATAAAATTGAGTTCTTAATCCATTTTCGCATATTTCCAAGAAATGTTCTAAACTTAATCATCAATTTGGGCGTAATGATATTACCTATATTATAATGGCGCCACTTTTTACACTAATAATTTGATATAATTTCCACACGTACCTCATTCGATCAAAAATCAAATCTCACTATACCAAATAGCGGTATATATTATATATTTATCCACGTAGACATACTAAATATATTGTATTTTTTGTGATGGGGGATCAATTCTTTATACCTATTCTAGGCCTTACATTTGTGTTTTTGTTTCATAATCAATCGAGTTAATTATCACTATTTCTTATGATTATCGATTGTTGTTATTGTCAGCAGTATATGAAAAGATATCGTCTTTGCAGAAGGGATAATACAGAGCATTATCGAATATTATGCATGGTTTCAAGTCTGCACATAGTCTTTTCTCGATCTTTTTACAGTATTTTAAAGTAAAGAAATAGCAGGCACTGTGTCGCTATAGTAACAACATTAATCAAACAACTAAGCCAACCCTAAGCTATCGCCTCTCAAAAAAGAACATTGTAATGTGAATATTCAAAATTATTGTATATAACATGAGTGCATACCGTTTTATTTCGTAATGAAAATTGACATTTCTAAGAACTATAAAACTGGATGCCTTTGTCTTTTCTTTGATTTTTCATCATTATTTAGAAATGGGTCACTTTATGTGGCAATAAAGAAGCAGGAAAAAATAAATTAACACAAGATTAAGGGATTTTATTTGTCCGAAAGTTACTCGTACTTTATTTGTTCTAGTGTTTATTATTGCTAACAAGACAATATGTACTTATACAAAGCATGCAAAGATGGATGTCAAATTAGTCAGTTATTAGCTTATCTGAAGTATATTGCTGTATATCCTTATACTGCCCATCGTAGATGTCTGTTATTTACTACATACTGTTCGTGGTATTTAAAGTAGCCACTGACATGTTTATCCTTATACTGCCCATCGTAGATGTCTGTTATTTACTACATACTGTTCGTGGTATTTAAAGTAGCCACTTACATGTTTATTACATGCTGTTTTTCAGACATATGTTATAATTCATTTTCATGTACGATATGTGCATCAAACATGACCGCATGTAACATCTTCTGATAATCCCGACCGTGGAAGATATTAATGAATTAACATGTGTTTACATTTGCAATATTAAAAAAATGCTTGCTTCTTAATAAGCTGCCAAATTAATAAAAACTTACACGTCTGAATAAGATTAACTTTTTTTCAGATTTTTTTAATTGTTGTTGAGTTGACACTCACATATAAATTAATGTTAATTAACTCTATTATGTTCACTTCATACATTAGTTATAAAACGTGCATTGCATATGACTACGGACCACACACTTATGCCAAAGATATGCAAGCTACAGGAGCCTGCATATTCCTTTTTTAAATGTCCATACATGGAAATTTATGTAATATGGAACTAATTAGATAACCTGATATCTAATGAATTAGAAATACATATTCATGTCAGTCTTGAAGCAAGTGGCATTCTAAATCATTTTATATATATATTTTTAATATTAATGACATGAATGTAAAATGGATTTAATGCATAATTCAAATTCTTGAAGAAATTAGCAAACCTTGAATTTTTTTTTAAGAAGATATAAGTTTATCACTACCGAAACCGTTCAGTGACCTACTTTACCGACGAGAAAAGAGTTTCATGCCATATGCCAGACATAGGCGATAAGTAAATGATGTTATAACAACTAATCAAGTATTGTGTATATTGTATAGTATTACATTATGATTTTCACCTTTTCATATTGTACTTACTGACACAGGAGGTCACATAATGTGTCGTAGTCTCCTTCATCTCCACACCATGGGTCTTTCTCATCTGGGCACTTGCAGTCCTGCATTGCAAGGTGTAGTTACATTTAGTTCACATTTTCACCAGGACAGACTAACTATACATTTATACCACGCTACACGCAATGATAGAATATATACAAACTTACACCTGATCACAAAGTTTGACTACTTTCACATTTACAACAGGTCACAAACAATGCAAATTTACACAAGGTCACACATCATGGTAAACTGGTTACATATTTACACCAGGTCACAAGCAATGCTAATTTACACCAGGCAACATATGATGATAAACTGGTTGCATAGTTAAACCAGGTCATTAACAATGCTAATTTACACAAGGTCATTAACAATGCTAATTTACACCAGGTCATTAACAATGCTAATTTACACCAGGTTACTAACAATGCTAATTTACACCAGACCTTACACGATGATAAATAGGTTACATATCTATACTAGGTCATTAACAATGCTAATTTACACCAGGTCATTAACAATGCTAATTTACACCAGGTCATTAACAATGCTAATTTACACCAGATTACTAACAATGCTAATTTACACCAGACCTTACATGGTGATAAATTGGTTAAATATTTACACCAGGATACTATAAATGCTAATTTACACCAGACCATACATGATGATAAACTGGTTGCATAGTTAAACCAGGTCATTAACAATGCTAATTTACACAATGTCATTAACAATGCTAATTTACACCAGGTCATTAACAATGCTAATTTACACCAGGTTACTAACAATGCTAATTTACACCAGACCTTACACGATGATAAATAGGTTACATATCTATACTAGGTCATTAACAATGCTAATTTACACCAGGTCATTAACAATGCTAATTTACACCAGGTCATTAACAATGCTAATTTACACCAGATTACTAACAATGCTAATTTACACCAGACCTTACATGGTGATAAATTGGTTAAATATTTACACCAGGATACTATAAATGCTAATTTAAACCAGACCTTACATGATGATAAATAGGTTACATATCTATACCAGGTCATTAACAATGCTAATTTACACCAGGTTACTAACAATGCTAATTTACACCAGACCATACATGATGATAAACTGGTTACATATTTACACCAGGATACTATAAATGCTAATTTAAACCAGACCTTACATGGTGATAAATTGGTTACATTTTTATACCAGGCCATTAACAATGCTATAAAGGTTGTAAATTCATCGAAGGAAACATATTTCATCAGGTTAATTTTAACGTTCCACTATGTCTTACGTAACACAAAGTTGTTTATGTAAACTCATCTGCAAAAAGCAAAAAAATCGTACAGTTACGTCCGAAAATAGCACGTCCCGCAAAATGCCACACTCGTTACAACAAATTAATCTAGCCACTCGATAGCCTGAAACGGGACCAAACAGTACCTCGTGATCAATCTATATTAGTACAAAGTAATATTAAGTCATATAGAATCATGTCGTATAATCATTTTAAAAAGACTGATAAAAATGTCACATGATGTCACATATAATATTAGTCCCAATACAAAGTCAGTTCGCAGATACATCTACAGACCGCAATACAATGTTAGAGAATATCGTACATAATATTAGTCTGGATACAAAGTCAGTTCGCAGATACATCTACAGACCGGAATACAATGCCAGAGAATGTCAGACATAATATTAGTCTCGATATCAAGTCAGTTCGCAGATACATCTACAGATCGGAATACATATCGCCATAAACAATCATAACAATTTCCGGTTAATAATTTGTTATAAAATCACAGCCGGTCACATAACTCTACACTGGTTATGAAATTGCATCCGGAAACAAATTTTTAAATGATTATAAATTCACGCCATGTTGCAAAAAAAAAAAAAAAAATCACAAAAAATTACATTGTTTAAAAAAAAAAAGTCCACAGGTAACCAAGTCACATTCTACACTTGTTACCACGCCAAATGCTACAAAATCACATCCGGACACAAATACCCTATTTATAAGAGTTCACGTTGATTACAAATCTCACATCAGGTCTCACGAAACATACACTAATTTCTGTCAACTTAAGCTGTTCCATGAAAAGAAGTCAGGTTAGAAAACTTAAAAAAAAATCTCTCTTGCATTTTTAACTTTTCGCCCTCAAACATACACTTGTTCAATACAGGTATCACAAACCATGATGCCCTATAGTGAATGTTATTTCAAGACATTGCGCCGCTGAAAGCATCTTTTACATACTAATTAATTTCAAGACTTATTGTAACGTCAAATGTAACGGGAAATGATCAAATGCCGATACTACAGAATGTCTTAAATAATACATTACACCAAAACACAGCACAAGCTTAATTCAAGCTCAAATTCAATTGAACAAGGGCAAACTATGAAAAAAAGAAAGCCTTGGTAATGTCACGTTCTTAAATGAGAACAAGGCATAAAATAACGGAACGGCACGCTAACGAGTTCCAAACACGCGCAGCTTCATATTTCACACATAAATACAATTTTCATTAATTTTCATCTTTTAAAACCTTTTGTTACAAGTTTAAAACAAGTCTTAAAAATTAAAATAAATACGTGTTTTTTTTTTCAAATATGTACAATTTCAAAGTAAAGCATCTTTTTCAAATAAATATTGTTTTTTTAGAATAAGTACAAACTCTAAGTAAAGCAAATTTTCCAAATGAATACAATTTTTCAAAACAAATACATTTTTTCAAAAACAAATGTATATTGTCAAAATACAAGGCACTCAAAAAAATAAACTTTAAATAGATACAAAGCAAAAATTACAAAACTAATATCTATTGATCGTGTAGAAGTAGCAGTGTAAGTCAAAGTATTGGATACGTAAAGACTTTTATCAAAATTAGTTATCAAAGAAAGCACAGTGCTAACGATATGCATGAGATGTATGGGTGGTATAATATGTTGAATACATTGTGTTTTATGCTTTATCGTTGATTCATGATTGATGTTGATAGCTTACCCTCTCTGGCCGGCCCTGGACAGTCACCATCGTCACAACCAACAGCGCGAGCAGCATACTTGACATCATGATCCTGAAAATTAATATTTTTTTAATCTTGCAACTTTATCTAAATATACTGAACAAAATAAGTTAAGGATCATAAACTTGAAACAGTGCAGTTTTACATACAAATAATAATATGATTATATTTTAAATTTTAATGACAGAACATTCATTTTAGTCTTTAATTACACAAAACAAATTCATTTGTGGTAATTGCTACCAAGAGCAGATAACCCTGAGTAACAGCACCCTTGAAATCAAAGTGTAAGAGGAAGTAGAGCAAGTTAATCATGTAGACAAGGAAAACTCATCAAACTGCAATTGGCAGTTTAATAGGCAGTATGACCTCCGTTGACATCAATAACTGCCCTGCAACGTCTGCACATGCTCCTTATTATTCGTCGGTGGCTGATCTGTGGGATGCGCTGCCATTCCTCTTGCAGAGCAATCATAAGCTGTTGGCGGTTCTGTGGCGGATTAGGTCGAGCTGAAACCCGGCGTTGCAAGGTGTCCCAAGCATGCTCGATAGGGTTCAGATCAGGAGAACGACTTGTCCAGTCCATGCGAACGATTGCTTCACGTTGAAGATAGTCGTTGACCACACGAGCACGGTGAGGACGAGCATTATCATCCATCAGTATAAAATCATGGCCAACAACTCCTGCAATGGGCCTTACTATAGGGTGTAGAATCTCGTCCCTGTATCGAACAGCTGTTAAAGATCCATTGTCTATGATGTAGAGGTCTGTATGGAAGTCAACACTGATCCCTGCCCAAACCATCACTGACCCACCACCAAAGCGATCATGCTGGACAACACAGCAGTCTGCATAGCGCTCTCCTTGGGTTCTCCATACCCTCCTCCTACCGTCATGGAAGTCAACACAAAACCTAGACTCATCTGTGAACATAACATTTCTCCAATGACGTAATTGCCAATTCAAATGATGAGTGGCCCATTGATGTCTGGATTGTCGATGACCTCTGGATAAAATTGGTCGGACTGCTGGTCTTCTAGCTCGTAAATTAGAGGCATGGAGTCTGTTTCTGATTTTCTGGGATGAAATCCTTAGATTTGTAGCACGCTGAAACTGAAGATTCAAGACAGGAGCACTCAAAAACCGCTGACGTCGTGCCGTGATGCAAATGAATCTGTCCTGTCGGGCTGTCGTACAGCGTGGTCGTCCAGATCTGGGGCGTTGACGGACGTTATTTGTCTGTTGATAGCGATTCCATAGCCTACTAATCACGCTCTGAGAAACATGAAGCTGTGCCGCCACATTTCGTTGAGTTTGACCAGCTTGAAGGAGCCCTATAGCTCGCGCGGCTTCCATATCATTTAAATGTCTTCGCATGATTAGTTTTTCAAGTTTTCGTTACAAATTGATTAAATGTTTCCAAATTCAACTTTTTTTAGCTTAGAAGTAACAGAATCAAAACCTGCAAGATTCCTCTGTAGTAATAGACCAGTCAGTTTTTCACACCACCATAGTTAACTAGAGCGGAACGGCAAGACCTTCAGATGCACGTGCTTTCACCTTTGACATGACTTTAGGTACATATTGGAGAAACTACGAGTGCAATTACCGGCAATACATGATTTGAATTTTTAAAGATATTATGGTCACAATTTATGATCCTTAACTTATTTTGTCCAGTATAGTATATGTGGGGTGAAATAGAATTACCTAGTGCATTCCCAAAATATCTCAAATCACAAACCATAAATCGTATGAAAATTATCAATCGCATAACATTCAACGTTAAAGAAAAACCATAGATACATTTGATACTTACGTTTATGTGGAATGATTCCTGATATTCAGGTTGACTACGCTGTGTGGCAGTTTGAGGAGAACTGTGACGAAAATATTCTGCGTGAAACATTAAAAAGATTTCAACCTGATGAAAGCCAATCATATTCAATTATTTAATGGATAAGTCAGCAAGGGCGGGGCTACATATGTATGTTGTTCTAACAACACGTTAAATGATATATACCATGTATCAAGTATCTGTCATTTATCGCGTTACATGTATGAAGTAACCACAGATCCATTTGCTGAAGCATTTACCTGAACTAAGAGGTTTAAGTTTCTCGTGTAACGGTAATTAATGTATGGATTCGTCATTAAAACCAAAAAAAAAAAAAAAAAGGTAACAGATGTCTAAATTACTTTTCATTACATTGATTGCGTCCATCATTTGCGAAAACAATTTGAAATGCGCCATGCATGATAACTGATAGCATATACAATTCGCTCTGTTAAATTATTAAGTTATCAAATTCTATCTTAGATTGTAATAAAGACACACAAGTGAATAGCACATTCAATGTAAATTAAGGGTAAGGTTCTCAATAACTAAGGTTTGAGATAAATGTTTTCACTGTTTTCCTTGATGATATGTGACATTCTGAGTTACTTCAAGATCGAAACTATACGTCTCCAAATTGTAACGTTTGATGAACGTATTATGATACAGGAATATTGGGTTCTTTTGGATAAATTCCATAAAAGCAGAAACTAAAATCGCGCTTATGATGAGGACTGTCATTGACAGTGAAATCCAAGAAAAGGTCACTAGATGTGACATTTATCTTGACACAAATCTCCTAATTTTTTCTTTTTTTCTTTTTTTTTTTTTTTGTATACTCAGCTATATTCGACAAGTGATTCCAATGGATATAATGACTTTACTCCGTGTTGTCACATAAAGTTATGGGCGTATTTTGTCTCTAATTTGACAATGATTCTAGGAATAAGATAAAACCACGTAAACACCCATTAGTGTCTAATCTAAATTCTACACTCGATGCCATAATGCAGACCTTTGCATATGGTTATACATTTTAATCGTCATTTTCTAATTCATATGTAAACGAGGGTGTAATTATGGTTCAGACGTCCTCAGAATGGTTTTTTATCGTCTATCATTCTAGGTATACATGTATGCAAAATCTTACAGATGCTAAACTGAAAATATTACTGCCTTAGAATATCATATTACCATGCCTCATTTTATTTGCAATAGCATATATGTGAAAAATTGTATACAGCAAGATTCGAAATGATTTGAAATGATTCGAAATTATCCCCCCTACCCCTAATTTTTGCAATTTTTTTTATAACATTCAAATACCGATATGCTGACTGACGGATAAAGCGTAGTTGCAGGAACGCGTTGTCTTCTTTTATTTTTCTGTGACTGTCCAGAACAAGGAACACCTAACTGGTCCCGTTTCATTAATTTCAAGAATTTACTGAAAAACAGAAAAAACGTGTATCAATGAAGTATACTTACAACAGGAAACCACTGTCCGTTTCTTCACTTTTTGGATTAAAACCACAACTCAACTGATGCCATAGAATAATGTCAATAGTAATATAATCAATGCTAGCGTACTTTTGGCAAGTCTCATGATGGGAATTATATCAAAACAAGAATGTAGCAATTAAGTTTTTAAAAAAAGTCATCTGAATAATCATTAATCAAGGAAAACGTCAAAACAGTCCTCCGCTAAACTCAAATGTTGTCGTGTTATCACGCTGTTCTTTGTGGGCAAGCAGTTTCATATATCTTGTCAGGAGTGCAATTTGTATTTGTTTTTCTTTTATCCGTGGTAAAAATTGTCACATCGGAGCTGTGAAATTACATTTGGAGTAGGCGTAATTGTGATGTCATAATGAAGTCATATAAAATGACATTTTCCTGAATATTAATCATCATTATCCTCGTTTTTCTGATGTTTATAGTAAAGTAGAGAATTGCTGTATTTTTCGACATCTGATTAGGTGTGATATTAACGGGTTGTGGTGAGGTTCGGAAGATCCAAGTTTTTCCAGATAATTTTCAAATTTGTTATGAGAATTAATACTTTCATATTTATTTCTGTTACTTATTAATTTTTTTTTGTAATTGTTTTATTTTTCAAGAGCACAACACAATCAAAGAACAAACATAACAATATATCAGATGGATTTGATTATCACTCATCATCACCTATTTGAGAAAAACACACGTCATCATCAGCATTCTCATCACTCTCGATCACACTTTAGCTCATATAATCATCATCATCATCATCATCATCATCATCATCATCATCATCATCATGTGATCATCCATCATCATCATCATCATCATCATCATCATCATCATCATCATCATGTGATCGTCCATCATCATCATCATCATCATGTGATCATCCATCATCATCATCATCATCATCATCATCATCATGTGATCGTCCATCATCATCATCATCATCATCATCATCATCATCATCATCATCATCATGTGATCGTCCATCATCATCATCATCATCATCATCATCATCATGTGATCGTCCATCATCATCATCATCATCATCATCAACATGTGATCATTCCTTATCATCCATCATCATCATCATCATTACGATCATCATGTGATCATCCATCATCATCATCATCATCATCATCATCATTTCCACTCAACACCACCATCATCATACATACATACTTTACACCTCATCACTATCATCATTCATAATCCATCATCATCATACACACCTAATATTGTCATTCATCCAAGCCTTACACCATCAGCATATTCTTCATTTTCATTGTGTGTGTCCTATTTTTTTTTTTTTTTTTTTTGAAAAGAAAAAGAGAGGGTAAACAAATAAATAAATAAGTAAATAAAGAGAGAGGGAAAGAGAGAGACAGACAGGATAAAAGTCAATAAAAGGAAAGACAAAGATAAAGATATAGAAAGCGAAATAAAAAGTAGAAACTGACGAGTAAAAAACGGGGAACAAGATAATTTATCTTGGGGTAATTTTCAAAATCTCAAGGAAAGATGCAGATTCAATATTTCTTAAAGAAACGTTCATAATGAAACTGTCAAGGGTATTGGGGAAAGGTTTTAGAAAAAATAAAAAACTATCATCAAAAACACAGAAGAATTATTTATAGAGTAAGAATTTTTTCCCATTTCTTCCATTCATTCTTAAAAAGTTCAAGAGAGTGGTCTCCCTTACC